CGCGAGATGTCCGCAGAAACCTTTATTTTTTGGACCCGCGAGATGTCCGCAGCTTCCTTTCTTGTTTGGACCCGCGAGATGTCCGCAGCTTCCTTTCATTTTTGGACCCGCGCGATGTCCGCAGCACCACATTTTCATAACCCCCACAGCTCGCCAATTGTGTCTCGTCTGTATTTCGAGACCCGCGAGATGTCCGCAGCTTCTTTTCTTGTTTTGACCCGCGAGATGTCCGCAGCACCCTTTCATTTTTTGGACCCGCGAGATGTCCACAGCGCCGCATTTTCATAATCCCCACAGCTCGCCAATTGTGTCCCGAGACCCGCGAGATGTCCGCAGCACGTGTGTCTCCTTATCCCAAAACGGCGACTCTCAGCAATTTGCGCCAAATTGCACCAAATGTATCAATTTGGGGTGGGTGGGCGTCCCGTAATTGGGCATCACACACGTGCCGACATAAATCAAACTGAGCCGCCGGTCGGTTTTTCGAATGTTGTTGGTTGGTTTCATTAAAAACGGGCCCCAATCGAATGCCCATAAATATGTAGGCGGTATGGCCATTAACAGCCGACGACGATGACGGGGGGGGGGCAAAAGGGCAGATCGTAAACGGACCACATAAAATTCCGCAACAACGGCTTTCGTCGATTGATCTATTTTTTCCCTCTCCGTCTGTTTTTGTGCCGAAACCCGCTAATTGGTGCCAGTGTGAGTGAGATGGCAGGTGCAGATAACCGACTATGGTCCCTTTTTTCTTTTTTCATCATTCGAGTTGTCACCTAGCGATAATGATCGCAAACATTAAAAAATTGTCGCGAGTTTGCCGACGTTTTCTACTCTGTTCACCTGGTTTTTATGTGTGCCGCTGTTGCGCAACACGTGTGCCGGTTGATTGGCGCGAAACTTGCATGATTGTCCGCAGCATGCGTTTTTTGGTTTTGATGGAGGCGGCGCAACTCTGGAATTGTACGCAGCTTGAATTTGATAAGCCGGCGAAACCCTGGAATTGTCCGCAGCAAAATTCCAATGAAGCGCGCTAGCCTGGAATTGTCCGCAGCTTGAATTTGATAAGGCGGCAAAACCCTGGAATTGTCCGCAGCAAAATTCCAATGAAGCGCGCCAGCCGGAATTTGCCCGCAGCTTGGATTTGAGAAGGCGGCGAAAGCCTGAAAGTGTCCGCAGCTTGATAACACGCGCAACACCACCCGCGAGTTGTCCGCAGCGAAATTCCAATGAAGCGCGCTAGCCTGGAATTGTCCGCAGCTTGAATTTGGCAATATCGCGCCGCTCGTCCAAAATTGTGGGCGTTCGCGAATTTCGCAACTCGACCCGTTCCCAAACGCCGTTTAAAGTTGTGTTCAGCTTCAATCGCCGGCAATGCCGTAAAGGTCACCGTCAGCCGCCTCGCACTCGTGTTCGTTCGCTTCTCATCTTCAAAATTGCAATTTTTTCGCGTTGTCGTCTCAAGGCCGAGGCGATCGGTGAGGAAGTGGGCGGAACGAGTCGGTCTTCGATGGAGGAGTTTTTGGAGGCACGCGCGCCCCGCCGCCGCCGCCAACTCGACTACGGTAGGAGGATGTCGCGTGCGGGCGGGCAGACGGGCGGGCGGGATGATGATGGTGTTGGTGTTGGTGCACACACGACGGACCCCGCCTTCTTGCCTCCTCGTTACACTTGTTTGGTCCACCTCCACGCGTGTTTCTTCTCATTCTTTTTGTATTACTGTAGTTTCCCTTCGAGACCCTGCACATCATAATTCGAATGCCTCCCAAGGCAATCGTTGTGGGACCCCGAATTGATGTCGGTGACAAAGCCTTGGGGTCCACTATTAGGGTAGGACCCTTTTCCTTCTTTCCACTCGGGACCCGGCGTTCGCCTCGTTCAAAACTTTCACTGATTTGCGCCGATGATTTGATAAACGATGATGATGAAGCTGGCTGGGCGAGGGTCGCTTCTCGACCGACGATGTCACTTTTTCATTCGAGAACTACACACACCGTCACATACCCGTTCAATCTCGGGCTTCATCTCTTCGCGCCGCCCGATTTTCCATCTCATCATCAACGTTTGTATATCTCGATCGCTAAACTGATACCGCCGGCCCTCAGGGCAGGCTTACACACTTGTGCGTACCGTTTCATTAGCCTCCGACCCCCCGCCCGCCCTCTAAAGCCCTCGTCGCCACTGTTTTTTTTTGTGAGACACCTGCCATCGAGTTTTCACTTGTCTGCAATCTTGCGTCGCCTACCCCTTTAAACGATATCAATTTTGTAATTTTTGTAGTGCTTCTTCGATATTTCCAAAAGTCCGCAATTTTGCGTCGCCTACCCTTTTAAACTATATCAATTTTGCAATTTTTGTAGAATTTCTTCAAGATTCTCAAAAAGTCAGCAATTTTGCGTCGCCTGTCCCTTTAAACGATATCAATTTTGCATTTTTTGTAGCGCTTTTCAATATTTCCAAAAGTCCGCAATTTTGCGTCGCCTACCCTTTTAAACCATATCAATTTTGCAATTTTTGTAGAATTTCTTCAAGATTCTCAAAAAGTCAGCAATTTTGCGTCGCCTGTCCCTTTAAACGATATCAATTTTTGTAGTGCTTCTTCGATATTTCAAAAAGTCCGCAATTTTGCGTCGCCTACCCCTTTAAACGTGAATCTTCGAAAATCTTCTATACGGTCATCACACTACCCCTTTAAACAAGACAATTTCATTTTTTTTTCTCTTTAAACGAAAAAATTGATTTGTCCTAGTGTGTAATTCTTATTATTCTGACCCCCTCCTCCCTCCAACCCTTTGATGGTAACCCCCTTTAAACAAGACAACTTTCGCGCAATGAATGAACATCGCAATTAAACACAATCAAAATTTGGGCATCACCCGACGGCATTTTTTGATTATGTGCATTTTGGCGTCTGGTGAACACACACAATGTGCATTTTTTTTTAATTGTTCGACATTTGTCGAAATGTGCAATTTTTCGAAGAGTATAGAGCAAAAATTGAATTTCTGCATTTTTGCGTCGTCTACCCCTTTAAACAAAAAACATTTTTTTTGCAATTTTTATCAAATTTGAATCTAATTCTCATTTAAAAATATGAAATGTTTCGTAGAATGCAGTGTAAAATCGAATTTCTGCATTTTTGCGTCAACTACCCCTTTAAACAAAAAAAAAATGTTTTTTTGCAATTTTGGCCAAAACTGAATCAATTTTTCGTCAAAACGCTAATCCTTTTTTTAAGAAATGAAAAAATGAAAAATCAAAAGTCCGCAATTTGTCGTCGAATTCGGCGCAAATTTGGCGTTTTGACCCCCACGCGAATTCGTCGCGCCGGTTTAAAGTGGATAGTTTAAAAAAGGTCACGTGTTTGCCATTCTCGACGTCGACAAGCTTTTGCCGTCGACGGTTTTTACACCCACACCCGCCCACATTGTTGGTTGGCATCGAGGGGCGATGGTACTCGAAAAAAACCGTCCTATTCATCACGATACTAACTTGTATTATTATTATTATTATTATTATATATTATATATTATATATTATTATATAATCGGTCGGGTGCGCGCTTCGAGACCCCAGCAAGACAGCCAGCCGAGAGATGAACCTGTTGGATGGCGGGCGGGCGCGCCGGCGGGGTGAAAGTTCGACGATGGTGGCGGTGAAAAGCGAGAGTTTTTGTCGAGAATAACGGCACCCCACCACGACGCCAACGGCTTCATCCTAGCTTTTTTTTGTTGTTGTTTTGTTGCGCCACATTTGACGACATTTTGCGTATCGTTTGTTGAATTTGATTTTTTTTTTGCTTAGAGGGGGCTTGCCAATCTACTTTGACGCGAAATTGCAGAAATTTGAATTTTTTTTGTTTAAAGGGGGTTGGCAATTTACTTTGACGCAAAATTGCAGAATTTTGAATTTTTTTTTTGTTTAAAGGGGGCTTGGCAGTCTACTGTGACGCAAAATTGCAGAATTTTGAATGTTTTTGTTTAAAGGAGGTTAGCGTGCCAGCTTGACGCAAAATTGCAGAATTCTGATTTTTTTTTGTTTAAAGGAGGTTGCCAATCTAGTTAGACGCAAAATTGCAGAATTTCAAAATTTTTTGGCTTAAAGGGGGTTGGCAATCTACTGTGACTCAAAATTGCAGAAATTTGAAATTTTTTTGCTTAAAGGAGATTGGAAATCTACTTTGACGCAAATTTTTGAATTTCGAATTTTTTTTTTGTTTAAAGGGGGTTGTCAAGCAATTTTGACGCAATAATGCAGAATTTAGAAAAAAATTGTGTTTTTTTTTTGGGAAATCGCAAAACAATCCAAAAATTGCAGAATTCTTGCAAAAATAACAAAAAATCGAGCAATTCGAAATTTTGTTTAAAGGGGGGGGGAGGCTGCAAATTTTTTTTTGTTTAAAGGGTGGCTGCAAAAAGTTGGCGAACATCCGCAAAACGCGCTAGACACGATTCCCAAGCTTTCTTGACGGTTTCCCATAGCACCTCGAGGCGCTCACCAAAGAGGCACCGCCAAAAGGATGTGCGGATGGGGCGACGACGTCCGTCAACACATGCCGATTTCCCCGACGTTCACATGATGACACCCATCCGCCAAAAGGTGCCAAAAATGGGCGGAAAGCGTCGATGGCCCCTCCAAGCCCAACCCCCCACCCCTCGATCTTGATTTCCTCATTAGCCAATTACTATTCGCCATCGTCGTCGTCATTGTAGTCAAGGCCTTTTGGCATTGGCAAAATACCAGTTTTTGATGTGATGCGCGACCCCAGCAGCTTCAACCCCACACACACTCATTCTCGTTGTTGTTTAGTAGTTTTCGAGTAGCTGCTTCTTTTCACATCGAAGCTTCTCCTTCATCTTCCTACCTTTCGGGCGAGAGAAAAAAAAGGGCAACCCCCCCGACCCAGTTTTGAGATTTCGTTATCGCGCCGTCTTGATCAAATCCGATTTCACTTGTTCGCCCTTTCAATACCAAATATATGAGACATTTTCACTTTCAGAATGAGCGCGATTGCTCAGACGAACGCGCCGCCGCCATCGGCACCAACCGCGCCAATTCATCATTTCGGCGAGCAGGAATTCATGATGCATCAGCTGCAGTGGAATCCGACGGCGATGCCGTTTGGATCGTTCAAGGTTTGAACACGGTTTATTACACTTGAATTTCAGCTTTTCCCTCTCTCTCTCTCTCTTTCACCAATTTAATTCGAGAACAATGGCATTAAATAGTTTTTACAATGTTAATGATTGAACTTTGTTTGGCGCGCGCGCGCTTCGCTTATACGCTAAACGCGCACAAGCAGACGTGTTATTGAATGATCGAGGGGTTCGGATGCGCGTTGGGATGCGGGAGGTCTCGCGCTCGACCTCTCCCCCCACCACCCTTAGCGTGGCCGTTTTGCACTAAATTTTTCTAGTTGCAGGTGCAGAAGCAATCGACGACGCCGTACTCGGACGCGACGAATTGCAAGAAGAGCTCGAATCACATCAAGCGTCCGATGAACGCGTTCATGGTTTGGTCGCAAATGGAGCGACGCAAAATCTGCGAACATCAGCCGGACATGCACAACGCGGAAATCTCGAAACAGTTGGGCTCGCGTTGGCGTCATCTCACCGAAGAGGAAAAGGCGCCGTTCGTCGCCGAAGCCGAACGATTGAGAGTCATGCATATGCAGGTGCGGAAATGTTTCGCTTAATAGGAATTTCGAAAAAAAAAAATTAATTTTTTTGATTTTTGATCGATTTGCGTTCGATTTTTGCAGGAATACCCAGACTACAAGTATAAGCCGAGGAAGAAGCCGAAAAAGAATCCGGACGGTTCGATTCAGCAGGCGGCGTCGAATCAGCGCGGCGTCTCGCCGAATCGCCAACGAAAACGAGCGCATCCCGTCGAGCAGCATCGTCAGATGGCGGCGAAATCGATGAAAATCGAGCCGGTCTGGACGGCCGACGATCATCAGAAGGCGATCAAAATGCAACTCCATCATCAGCAGCATCAGCAGCAGCAATCGTTCGCCTCGTATCCGTCGCCGTCCGAATATGGGCATGCGCCGTTGACGCCCGAATCGGGCTTCTACGACGACTTCTACGGACACGCGGCGTTCCATCAGAGTCCGTCGGCGGCGTCGGCGATTCCGACGATGCGAATGCCGATCGATCATCCGATGATGCACTTCCCGCATGGCCATCCGTTCTATTTGTCGCCGTGCACACAGGATCAGGTGAGCGCGATTTTTCGAATTCGATTTTTTGAACCGAAATTTTTGAGAAAAAAAAAATTTTTTCGAGTTTTTCGCAAATTTCTTTGTTCGCCTGAAATTCGCGTTTTTTTTTTAATTCGAAAATTTCAATATGACAATTTTGTTTTTGGAGTTTTTGAACCGCAAAATTTGCATTTCTTTTTTTTTCAACTCAAAAAATTTCGAAAATTTCAAATTTTTGCCAATTTGACCAAAAATCGCCATTTTTTTGATTTTTGAATAAAAATTTTTGGCAATTTTTCAAATATGCACAATTTTCAACATTTTTCGCCCAAAAAAATTTCGGGGGATTCGTTTTTTGATGACCATTTTTGGCGATGGAAAATTGGAAAAAATAAGAAACCGCCATCAATGTGCTCGATTTCAGGACGACATGCGCTCACTGTCGTCGGGCTCATCCGGTTACGGTAGTGTGCCGGGCGGCGACGTCACCGAGATGCCATCGACATCATCATCAGCATCATCATCATCATCATCGTCAACGACGACAACCACCACCACCAGCTCGTCGACACCATTCGGCAGCACGTCGGCGATCGACGAGCTGTCGACGATCTGCCCGACGATCACCGAGTTGCCGTTCATCGGCTCCGGCGTCTGGGAGGAGATCTACAAGACAATCTTCTAATCCTCAATATATACCTCGTTCCCCTTCCCCTCCCCCTTCCACCGGTCCTTCTCCCCACCCAAAACAATTTCGTTTTCAGTATTTTGTTCCGTCTAGCCAAAGTATTTGGTCCAACTGTATTAATTGACATAATTAAGTAATTAAATCCGCCGTCGGAGCTTTATTTTCCGTTTTTTTTTTTGTATTCGTCGTTTCGTTTTGCCACGTGGAAGCTCCTCCCCCCCAATCCTTCTTTTTTTCTCTCGATACTCTCTCAATTCTATTCAATATTTCTTTCACCTTCGATTGTTTTTTTTTTTGGTTTTTTTTTTCCGATTATCACCATCGCTTTTGTGTATATTTGAACCACAGATGATTATTTTTTTTTCTTGAAAATAATTTCAGCTTATTTTTCTCATTTTCTTGTGACACGCATATTTATCGAATAAATCGACGTTTTTTTTTCGAGCCGAACAATTTTTCCTCTCCCCCAACGGGACCCCACTAGTTTTGGCTTTTTTTTCAATGGTCCCATTGAATTTGTTGACTTCTAATAGCTATCTGTCATTTTTGAATCGTTTTTGAATTTTTTAGACCAAAAAAAAAGGCGAATTTTCGAATTTGCGACATTTTTTTTGGCGATTTTGAGTCGAAAAATTTATTTTTGCGATTTTTTTGAAAAATCACGGACCACAATTTGAATTTTTTTGAATTTTCTATCGAAAAACGCAAAAATTGATTTTTTCGAATTGTGCATTCTCAAAATATCGAATAAAAACGCGAAATTTTGTCGATTTTTTCAATTTGTTCGTTTTTTTTTTTGGAAAAACCCAATTTTTTCACATTTTGGCGACAAAATTCAAGATTTTCGCAAAAATTGCTAACAAAAATTTTTAAAAATGAGCATTTTTTGGGAAAATTCTAATGAATATCGCAATTTTCTACTTAAAAATTGATTCCGCTTTTATTTTTCTCCACAATATTTCAAATATTGATTTATTCATTTATCTTTTTTGAAACAAATCTCACCCTTATTTGGTTTTCGCAAATTCCAAAATCGAATTTACCGTTTCAATTAAAACTTGTAACGGTGAAATGTAGAAAAATTAAAAAAAAACGAAGATTCGCGTTTTTTGGTGAATTCGCATCGAGACCCATCGCATAAATAAACGGCATGCGCCTTTAAAAATACCGTAATTTTGCTGTTTGATTTTTAGGAATTTTACTGAAATTCCTTCGTTTACGCTATTTTAAGACGCATGGGTCTCGAAGCGAATCTTCGAATTCCAGAAAAAATTGTAGGAATTCGATATCTAAATGAAACCTTCTCACTTGGTCCCTTAGAAAATTCGTCCTTCGCCTGTTGAGGCGCGAATCACATGCTTTATGGTCCTTAGCTTGAGAAGAAAATTAACAAGGTCCCACTAAACCTAATCGATAGTTTTTTTTTTCTTGAAGACTCGCTTTGAAACCAAGCGATGTCATCAAATCCTCCAAAATGTGTGCATTATCGCGTGTCGGTGTACCACACCAAAAAAAGAAGAAACCGAAGCAAGAGGTCAGCGTTTTTTTTTTCTGTTGTTGTTCCGCCGAATCGTTATCTCCTTCTTATTCATTTCCAAATCTGTGTGTCCCATTAAAAGTGCGAAACGTCGAAAAATGCAAAGTTTTTGGCGATAAGATCGCGAACACGCGACCACCTTGACGAACAAATTGCACCATTCGCCGCCACCCGCCACCCAGAAACTCTTCTCAATTTTTTTTTTCGTCAATTTTTCCCGTTTTTTCTGATTTTTATCGCAAACGAGGCGCGCGCGTGCGCCGCCCGACCGATGAATGAACGCCGAGACGAGAAATTCAAATCGTTGTCGAAATTGACAAGTTGTGATATTGGCGGGGGGATTTGCCATCAAAACTATGCGCATCGAATTTCGCGTTTTTCTCGAGAATCGATAATTAGTCGATCTAATTAGGAACGAATTATTGGATATCACGAGATTAGAGTACTAATTAGTTAATCATCACCTTTTTTTTAATTCGCTTCAAGCATTTCTATTCGATATTTAGCCTACTAGTAATTAGAAACCAATTAACCTAACTTCAAAAAAAAATTATGTCATTTCTCAATTTATCAAACTAAATTGCCCGAAAATTCGACATTTCTTTTTGAAAATCGATAATTAGTCAATCATTTCGACGATAATTACCGATATCTCGAAAATTCCGTGTTTAGCTTCATTCGAACATTTGAATAAAGGTTCAAAGGTGAAATTGTGGAATACCCGCCAATTATGGCGCATTTTGAGCTCTGAACTCTTGTTCGCCAAACGTTTTGACACCAACACCAACGCCAAATTTTATTCGATAAATCTTCAATTTGAAATTTGAAAAAATTGCGACAATTTGTTGAATTTGAAGCCAATTTTCTGAAAACGCTCGAATTTTTGCTCTCGAAAATTTCACCCCGATTTTCTTGCCAGCAATTTCAATCGATGAAATAGGTCTTGTCGCGATTGTGCACCGTCACCAATGGGCCGCCATTATGACCAATTAGCTATAATTAGACGTCGGGTAATTAGCGAAAATTGATCAATCAGTTATATCACCTCGATTTCGCCTTCCAGCTCGTTGTCATCGTTGACGACCTCGAAGTTTTTTGTGGCTTCTAGTAAAAAGCTGAAAACCAGAAATGCGAGAAAATTGGCCAATTTTTGCCAATTACCGACGAAAATCACTTCCGGGCTGATAGAAATCTATGGAATTTCGATTGTCGTTGACTTTTTGAAACGAAAATTGGCTGAAAAAGTTGAACATCCAGAAAAATCTCAAAAAAATTTGTTTCGCCTACAGTAATCCTTTTATGGCAACTTCGAGAGCACATCGCAAATAGCCGAATACGGTAGCCGCTGGGAACATTCTCGGCACTTTCTGTAATCCATCAAAATTTGGCGGAAATTCAAAAATTCTGCTTTTTTTTGGGCCAAACCTCGGCGAACTCGAAATCATACAATGTGCATGCGGCATCGCAGCCGTCGAGAAGCACTGACGTCACGTGCGGCACCTCCATTAGAGCGATTTCATTGATCTAAAAAAATTGCGCCGCCCGAAATAATTCAACACGAAAAATTGGGCGTACAAATGAGAAAGTGATGTGTTTGAGGCGAATGCACGATTTCAGCACTTTTCCCAATTGGCGATCGAGTTTGATGAAGCAGTATAGGCGAATTACTCTAGAAAAATTTTAAAAAAATAAATGAAACTCATTTTTCATTGATTTTGTCGGAGGAAAAATATAGCGAATTCAAAAATCGTCATTTTTCCTCTGTCGCGGCTCTCACCTTATCGTCTCCCACCCGCCATTTTTGATATAATTCTGCAAAAATTCCAGCACGTAATCGGCCTCATTGTCAGGAACCTGTAGGAATTTGAACTTGGCGCCAAAACAAATATAAATTTCCAAACCAGCGGCGCGGTTTTTCGCTTCGCAATACCGATGTTTATCTCGTATACCCTGAAGAAAATTTTGAAAATTTGCAGAATGTTTTGAGTCGAGAAAAAAGGCTTTGAAAAAAAATTGACACCAACCTTGGCGCAATTTTCGCCATGCAATTGGCGAAGCTCACACCATACGTGAAATCATAGCAAAAGAACACCAATCGTTTCACCATTCCCGGCGCGCACATTTGTCGCCGATTGAAATAGACATCAAAAACCTCCTAAATGTGAATTTGGCACGCAAATTCGGGGGTTTTTAAGACAAATTTTGCACCGAAAACCTCAATTTTGCATTTATATTTCGCATCGACGGTGTGGATTTCGATTTGAACCTTTTGCAACAAAATGCGAGAGTCCGTAATGATATCCAGGCATTGTTGAGCCTCGCTGAGCGGAACGTCGACAAAACCTGCGGAAAAAAACCATTGCAATTGATTTTTTGATGCTTCATGTCGCATTTATTACAATCCAATTGGCAAACGACTTCTTTCCCGGTTCCTTCCTCTTGCCCTCCTTTGTTTAATGTGTAAAACTTGATGAAAAATGTCTCGATGTTTGTGCCGAGATTGATTTGACCGAATTCGGCGTCGTCGTCGCTCGCTTCTATTTTAGGGACTTGTTTCCATTTGCAGCTGAAACCAAGAAATTGCATTTAAAAAAACGCGAATTGCTCTTTCTAAGGGGAAAACTTTATGTTTGGAGAAATTAGGTCGCCGCATGAGCTCAGTGAGGAAATCGACGTTGCTGGGCTACTCAATAAGCATATTGAATTCGTTGAAATACTATCCACATCCTAAAAATTTGGATTTTTGCGGTTTTTGTGGAAAACACTACCATTTTAGGGCAAAAATTCGGGAAAAAACATAATAAAAAACAAGGTCACAGTATCGATCCTTTCGAGACCATTTGCATAAATAATTATGAGCCTTTAAATCGTACTGTAGATTTATTATTTGCCAATTTTTCTTGGATTTTTTCAAAGTTTTTCACCCAAAATTCCACTTTTGAATGTTTTACAATTTTTAATAATGTTCTGATTCGCATGATGAAGAGTTGTTGCTCCAATTAATTACATAATATCACTCTTTTATTATGATTGGCGTCAAATAAATAGTAAGTCCGTAGGGAATTGATAAAGTGTTTACACGAAAGCACTTTGTTTCACGACGCCAATGTTATTATTCTTGATAAATCTTGCGCCATTTCTAGTTCCTATTGAAATATTTATTTATAGTTTTCAGATAAAACTATGGGATGCATTCATAGTCAAGAGGAAGACGCACGTGATCGCTCAAAACGAATCGACAAAATGGTAAAAAGAAAAAATAAATAAATGAATTTTTTCGCGAAAATTAATTTTCAGCTCAAAAAAGAGGCGGAAAGCGAGCAGAAATCAATAAAATTGCTGCTTCTCGGCGCCGGCGAATCGGGCAAATCGACAATTCTCAAGCAAATGCGAATCATTCATGATGACGGCTATTCCCTGCAAGAGTGCCGACTATTCCGACCGGTCATTTATGGAAATATTCTTCAAGTCGGGCTTTAAAGTGCGATTTATCCCAATAATATTGATTATTAGAGCTTGTACGCGATCATCAGAGCTATGGCGAAGTTGAAAATTCGATTCAACGATCCCGACCATGAGCAGGACGCCATCAAATTGTTGAAGTTTCGAGTCACCGGGCATGAGGATGAGCTTCCTGTGGAGCTCAAGGACATTATAGGGAACGTTTGCTCGGACATTGGTGTTCATAAGGCTCTGGAGAGGTGAAATTGGAAATTGCTTGTAATTTTCTCAACAAACTTCGAGATTCAGATCGGCCGAGTTCCAATTAAACGATTCGGCGTCATACTTCATTCATGAAATTGCTCGAATTCTCGAGTCCGACTACACGCCGAGCCTGGTTTGTGCTCAGAATTCGATCGATCAATCATTTTTTGTTGGTTTATTCAGGATGATGTCCTGCACGCGAGAATTCGAACGACAGGAATCGTCGAAGCCAGCTTCTACTTCAAAGATCGCCACTTCAGGTATTTTCAGAAGCTTTTGTGAAATTCAGAGAGCCTTTCTCAAATCGGCATTCTAGAGTTTTCGACGTCGGCGGTCAACGATCGGAACGCAAAAAATGGATTCATTGTTTTGAAGACGTCACCGCTGTCATCTTCTGCGTCGCACTTTCCGAATATGATATGATAATGCTGGAAGACCAGAAGACGGTAGGGTGCTTATAGAAAATTCGCATTTTTTTTTAATAGACGATTATTTTGCGGAAAACTTGCGCCATCCGGGTCTCGAGACGAAAATGTTTGATTTCAGAACCGAATGCGCGAATCGCTGAAGCTTTTCGACTCGATCTGCAATAATGAATGGTTCATTAACACGTCGATCATCCTATTCCTGAACAAGAAGGATTTGTTTGAAGCGAAAATTCGGCATTCACCGATAACGATCGCGTTTCCTGAATACACTGGTCGGCGAGAATCAAGAACAGAATGCTGAAATTGCGAATTTCAGGCAAAAACGAGTTCTCCGAAGCGTCGACGTTCATTCAGCGCAAATTTGAGGAGGTCAACAAGCGGCAAAATAGCCAAAAAGTTTGGCGTTTTTTATTTTTTTTGACAATTTGCCAAATTCGTTTTTTTTTGTAGGAGATTTACACGCATTTCACGTGCGCCACTGACACCAATAATATTCGTTTCGTCCTCGACGCTGTCACCGATATTATTGTGCGCGACAATTTGCGCACATGCGGTTTTTACTAATTGCTAATCAATTTTGGTGTTGACCCATTCCTCATTTTTATTTGGCTCTTCGTCTTGTCGAATATTCACTAATACTTAAAACGAACCATTTTTTTTCTGGGTTTTCCCACTCTCCTTTTTTTTTCCCATCATTTTTGCTACTGGTAAATTAAAAATAAATCGTTGATTACTGTAGATTTGTTGAAGGCGCATGATGGGATTTGTATGAGGGGTCTTGCCGCGCGTGCGCTGCGGCGACAATGATTTTTTGAATCTTGAAATTTTTCATTCATTTTTTGGCGATTTCGAGGATTTTTCATGGTTTTCTTCATTATTTTCGGATTAGTAAATTATTTTGGTTATTTATTTATGGTTCTATGCAAATTTCACGGAAAACAAACGAAATACCTTATGCATATTGCGCAAAAAACAAGATTTTGAGTTTTCTGAGTGTTCTTCCCAAAATCTGCAAAGAATTAAGCAATTTTTATAATAAAAATCAATTTTTCAGATGATGATGGACATTTCCATGGGTCCTGCGGTTTGTAGGATATGTATGTGCGGCGAGACTTCAATTCCATATCTTGGAAAAGAAGCCGGCGAGCCGCTGATATCGCCGTGCTGCTGCTCGTAAGAGATTGTTTTTGGCGGGTTTTCCGCAATTTTTATATTGCCGTTTGCAGAGGCACCATGGGATTGTACCATCGAAGCTGTCTGGAACACTGGTTGACTTTGACAAAAACGAAACAATGCGAAATTTGCAAATTTCGATTCCAAATCGAGCAGTTTGTGGACAAAAATTGTCAATTGTTCGATTGAAAATTGTTTGCGATTTCAGAAAGCCGAGAAGCTTCTTCCAGTACCTGAAACTCCGCGGATATCGAAAGCGACGAGCCGATTCGGACAATCGCAATCCAATAGTTGATTTCATTTTTATTCTGGCCATCACACCATTGGCGTTTTGCGCCCTTTATTTATGCATTCGAGGCGCCGCATTGGCCGGCCAAAAGTTGGTTGATTTGTGGCTGCAAATTCCTTGAATTCTCCAATTATTTAGGTATCATATTGCTTTTGAGAATCGATTCAACGATGAGGATGGCACAAATTTACAAACCAGAAATGAGACATCGATGGGTGAAAGAATTTTTGCCGAAATTTTCTTAAAATGGAATTTTCCAGAATTTGCCTTATTCGTCTTCGTCGCCATTATTTTATTTTTTGCTTACGCGGTTTTCATGCTGGTGATGTGTGGCAGTCATATTGAGCAATTCCGAACTTGGCAGAAGAGAAATATGGTGAGACATCACACCATGCGCCTTTAAATTCATTTGAAAAATTTGCAGGTTTTGTTCGTGATTGACCAGTTGGACGCCGAGCAGTCAATGCATTACAACCCGCAATGGAAACATGAGAAGCCGTCGTTGATTAAACGCGTCTTCGGGTTCTTGGTGAGATTTGTGTGGTTTGATCCGAAAATTGTGGAAATTTTTAGAGAAATGGACGCTCACGCGATCCGATGGATGCAGAAATTGCGAGAATTGAAACCGTAGAACCGAGATTTTTCGGCGATTCCCGACAATTTCCGATTTTTCAGATTCCCATCGAGCCTGTCGGTCTGGCGCCGAGCACATTGAACGTCAACTTCAACACAATCGACAATGTCTCATTGCACTGCCCGAAGACGCCGATTCGCGGCCATATGGACGTCCACGCGTCGCCGGATATGTACGCCGACGATCGATTCTCGCCGATCATGCCGACACGGCCGTTGTCTGAATTTCGAAGTCATCGTTTTCAGAACATTTTTTTTCGTTTTAATTTCTCGCATTTTTTTTTCCAGAAACCCAATCGATTTATTCGGTTTGCTCATTCTCCAACGGTCGATTCTCGTGCTCGACGCCAGTTCATGATCGATTCAATCGGATTCATCAAAATGATGTTCAATTCTCGACGTTCAAGGTTGATTGTTTTTAAAAGGGAGTTGTGACGCATGACAGCATAGCGGTTTACGTGCGTGCGCCTTTAGTGTGGTCTCGAGCGGATTTATAATGTTGCCGGAAAAGTTACTAGAAAATCAATGTGAAAAAATATAATAATTTTAAAGGCGCATTCCCGAAAATGTAAAAAGCCAATGGATATAATGGAAATTTATAGGATCCTGCTCCGACCGTCCAACAGGAAAATTTGGAAGCGAACCATGAGCTGAATGAGATGAAGGGAAGATTCCAAGTGCAGCGTCTCGAGACCCCTTAAAAGGGAATTTCTTGTAAAAAAAAATAACTAATCCATTTCATTGTTTTTCTCACTTTTTTTACTAACCAATCTTCTTGTGCTCGAATTATGCGCCTTTAAAGTGCCTACCCGCATGTAACTTACCTTACTATTTATTATTTCTGTAAATTTTCTTGTCCTCACTTTTTTTTTCTATTAAATATATTTTCTTTATCTTTATTTATAATTGCTCTATAACTTTGTATAATATTGTATGTCAATGCGTGTGATTTATAAGTTGCCTGTATTATATCTATATATTATACGTAATTTGTATGCAAAAATGACCGGCGATGGTCTTAAAATGAAATGTTGTCATGCGAATTCATGAGATTCTTTTTTTCTTGTTGAAATTTCAATTTGTTTTATTTATCGCATTTTTTCAGATTAAAATTTTGCGCTTATATTTCTTAGAACAGAATGGAGCAGAATTTGGATGAGGCGCGAGAGGATCAAGAAGAAAAAAATCCGATTGTTGAGGTATTTCTTTGTTCTTTTGCCATCTGACCAGGGAGGTGGTTTTACTTAGTGGTTTGGATTTTTTTCCTAATTTTGTACACAAACAGATCGGGAAATTCCCTATCCAGTGTGCTATATCGTTTTCTGCAAAAATTCCAAAACTGACTGAAGTATGGCAAAAATCAAACAAAGTATAAAAAGATGGTTCAAAATTTGGAACTTCGGGCCCAAAATTTTGGAACTTTTGCAGAAAACGACATAGCACACTCGATAGGGAATTTGCCGATCTGTTTGTGCGCAAAATTAGAAAAAATTCCAAACCACTAAGTGAAAACACCTCCCTCGTAGACGAGGTGTATTGAGAATGCGATTTGAGGAGCAATTGTCATTTGGTTCTATGTTTGAACATTCCAGGCGACATTCTACACGAGAGCCAGCATCAATTGCTTCATCTGCTATAAGAGGATTCATGGTCCCCTTGATAATGTTGAATATTTTCGGCCTTGCAAGTGCTCGACGTAAGATTCATTCTCTCTAAAGGGATTAAGCAAATTCGCGACTTCCAAAAATTGTCGTCGAATTGAATGCATTGTCGTCATTTCATTTTTTTTTGCACGGGAATTTGAGCATTTTGAAGCTTAAAGAAAATTGCGGACAATGCATTTTATTTGACGGCACTTTTTTGACACACGGCGGGTTTTTTATTTTTTTCCGAAATGTTGCTTGTTGGAATTGGTTTTCCAGAATTTATGCCCATAAATCGTGCGGCAAGACGGAGTTGAAGAAGCTGAGCGGTTCGATGTGCTCGAGATGCGCGGTGCCATTCGGTTACGCGGTGCCGAAGGCGCGAAATTGTGCGATTTGCGACGAGGAGAAAGACGCGCGCAAAATTGTCGAAAAATCACTCGAGCCGATGATTGAGCCGTGCTTTTGCGGGTATTCTTTTTTTTTAAGATTTCGAATCGAACATTGTTCTTTTTTTCCAGAAACTCCATTCACTTCTCTTGCATGGAAAACCTTGTAAAATCGTCGAGTGTTTGCCAGAAATGCAGTGTTCGATATTGCCAAATTAAGGTATCGTCGTTGAATGCGCCTTTAAATGGGGTCTCTCGCTTCAGGCGAATTGTGAAATTTGATTATTTGAGCGTTTTGAATCTCGAAAAATTTTTACTGTGTCGAGACCAATTTCAAGGCGCATTTTCTATGCAATTCTGTCATCCAATTTTAGTATGACTCGATTTCGACGTTCATCTGCCGACATTTCGTCGTTTTTCTCGCTTATATCGCTGTATTGATGATTTGTGGTGGATTTCTGGTCGTTTGCTTCCATAATAGGAAGATTTGGACGGAGTTCTCGACAATTATGGAAATTGGTGAGGAATTTTGAAGGAAACAATTTTTTTTTCTTTTTGAAAAAGTCGTTGAAGTTGAGAAAAATTGAATGCATTTTTTTGAATTTTAAAACAAATCGAAAAGCTGCAAAAAGAAATGAAATATTTAGAGAATTTTCGAACATTTTAAAGCTTTTTTTGAAATTTGGAGGAAAAAATTGTCAAAAAATCAAAAATTTAGAGAATGAGGTCCTGAAGCGACGAATTTTCTCATTGTTTTTCAAATGCCAATTTTTGGCAGAATGAATTTCGCGTTTGAAACACGAAAATTGTAGATTTAAAAAAATGGTGCAAAATTGGCAATTAATTCTCAAAATTGAAATTTTTTTTTCGTTTTGAATTGAAAATGCCAATTTTTTGCATTTTTTGCACACGCACATTTTGATTTTTGCCATTTTTTTCCCCTCCAGTAATTCTCTCGATCGCGGCGATTTGTTTGACGGGCCTCGTCGGCGTCACCTACTATCTGCTCAACATTTTCATTCCGACTCATTGGCGAATCGAAAAGCTGAAACACGCGCGAATCCATGTGGAGCCGTTGAAGGTGGCGAAGCAGAAGAAGAAGAATGGCGAGACGAACATCGACATTGAAAATCATTGAATTTCCATTCCAATATTCTGTTTCTTTTTTTTTCCTTTTATTGAATATATTTTGATTTTTGTACTACACAGATTAACCCCCACTCATCGTTGCGAAAACCTGTGAATAAATTTTGAGTTTTTATGCCATCATGGTCCTGCCACGAATTTTGGCATCGCGGCGAGACCTGTTGTTATTTGTATATTGCCGAAAAACCGTTTTAGATTTGTTAACGATTGATGGGCTACGGTAGTTTTTGTTTGATGATGATTTTTGGGTCTCGCCGCGAATCGCCATTTTCCTACGGTCACTCGAATTCGGAAGGCATAGTAACCTCTTGTGTGGTGTCTTCATTGAAAAATTGATCGCGTCGAGACCCAAATGCGATGGATTTGCTACTCGAATCAAATTATATGGGTCCTGTCGCGAATTTGCACTACTTTTTTGTTTCACCAATTAAAAAAAATTGTGCGACACAAATCTCAATAAAATATTTATTTTATGCGCCTTTAAAAAAACCGCTGAAAAAATGTGTTAATGAAAAATATTTCAGAATTATTTAATAGAAAAATAAACTGGCCATGTAGGCTTTGAAAAACGTGGCCGTGGCCGTGGTTTTTTTCTTCCACCTTCCACTTTGAAAATGATTTTTCCATTTTTTTTTTGAGGCGGTTTTTGCTTTGGCAAAATCTGTACCATAAAAATTTGTCGAGGGGAGGAAGCCGAATGGGACAAGCGGATTAAAAGCGTGTTGAATCATCATGACGAGTTGCGTAAACTGGTTGCGACATTCGAATGCGGATCCCCCGAACAAAAAAAAAAAGAGAGAGAGAGAGAGGGAAAGGGAACGAACTAACTACTATACGAATTGCGTAGAGGAGCTTCATCGTCTTCCCGATGCTTCGATTTCGACGCCTAGCAATTTTGGTGTTTTTTGAGTGCGCGCTGGCGCAATGGACAGGTTTGTCAATTTTTCGCGTCAAGACCCAACGCCCGATTTTGTTGTTCGCTTTCCCAATTGTGGGGTCTCGCCACATGCGCCTTTAAATTGATGATTCTCGACTTCAGAGCTCGAGCAACGCCAACTGCTGGATTCGGCGAATCTGCGCGCCAAGGAGATCGAGCGGATGACGAAAAACGCGGCGATTCGACAAAATCAGGTAGATCAAAACGAATCGCCTTCGGATTGAGCTTCGATGTTCAGCTCAACATGGCGCCGATTCCGTCCGGCGGTGTGCCGCTCAACGGACCATCGAAACCGGCGCCACCCACAATCGATGAGGATCGCCTATTTTTAGCGAGTTGGTTCGATGGCGAAATCGAGAAAACCAAAAAAAAACAGAAAAGAAACCATAAAAAATTTTTTTTTTCGAGAAAACCAAAAAAATTTTTTTTTTCGAGAAAACCAAAAAAAATTTTTTTTTTCGAGAAAACCAAAAAAATTTTTTTTCGAGAAAACCAAAAAAAAATTTTTTTGCCATCAATCAACATTTTTTTTGTTGCAGAAATGGGAGAGCAGGAGGCGCTCGCCAATCAGATAATTGCTCGCGAGGCGATGGCGCGACAGGGAATTTTGGCGATGGGTAATTTAAAGGCGCATACGGTGGGGGGGGCGATCAAAGTGTTTTTTACGCGAGATCGAACATTTCGCCAAAATTGCGAGAACCTTTGAAAAAGATTGAAATGGAGTGTGCGATGGAGCGCGTTTGCATTATGCAATTTTCAAATGTGTTGATTTGATGGCGCAAAACAACGATTTGCGATGGAGCGCGTTTGCTGCTTTTTTGGTACTGTACATCGATATATTCTTTTTGTCTTTATGTCTAAGGCTGTTTCGTAGGAAAAAAGAGCGAGTGTGCGATGGAGCGCGTTTGCATTTTTTCTCAATTATGCAATTTTCAAATGTGTTGATTTGAGGTGCAAAAAAACTATTTACGATGGAGCGCGTTTGCTGCTTTTTGGTACCCTAGATTACTGTGAATCAATGTATTTTTTTGTGTAGACGTTTCGTCGAAAAAAGGCGAGTGTGCGATGGAGCGCGTTTGCGACACAAAAATTCGAAAATTGCGATTTTCATCAATAAAAGTGCAATTCATTTTTTGAGCCTTGATGTTTGGTCTCGCAACGCTTCAGGGGTACGGTAGATGATTCTTGAAAATTTAGTAGAATCATCATCGCTCAATCGATGACTGTCGTTTCGTTTCAGAAGCCACAATTCTGGAAGCGCTTCAACCGTTGACGGCGCCGCTTCAGCGGCCGATTCCGGCGCACTTCATCGCCGTGCCAACGGTACCGCGTCAGTCGGCTCATCATCGGCGTCGTCCGATCAAGAAGCATCGATTTCAGGTTGGACGAGCGACGAGAGAATCGTGATCGCGGCGAGACCCGATCGCGACGCGTCGCCGATTCGCATCAACGACATCGTTGAGATGGCATCGTCGAGACGACATCGCTGAATGTGTCTATATTATATATTATATGATATAATTTATAAATTTTCAATTTTCAAATACACGTTGATTTTTTTTTGTGAGATCCTAGAGAGGGGGCTCGAATATCGAATGAAGTCTTATTTTTTCGACGAGCAGCTACCTGAACATTTTTTGCTGAAATTTTCTTTAAAGGGGGTCGGGCGGCTTACCGACGAACACTGACAGCAACAGCGGTAGAAATACGAGGCCGTGAAGGAAGCCGATCGAGATGGCCAGGAAGACGGTCTTGAAGAATGTGACGATCATGTAGGCGGGCACGTTCGCCAGCACCGAGACGGCTAGGATTGTCGAGAAGGCGCCTTTGACATTGGATTGATGATTAGCGAGATTTTTGTTGATCTACCTTGCGCCACCGGCCATCCCAAATCGCCAAGCGCGTCGCACACGCGCTTCGTCGTCGTCGCCTCTTTGGAGATGACGTAGGCGTAGGTGATGTGCGCCGAATAATCGACGGAGAAGCCGACCGACATGATGATGGTGATCATTGAGATCGCGTCCTGGCCAACGCAAAATCGTTGATGAGATTGCCGCAAACGCGACTCACCAGATTCACATCCCATAGCGTCATGAAGCCGAGAACGCCGAGATCGATCGAGGCGATGGTGACGGCGACCCAGAGCGAGCAGACGGCGTGCGGGATGAGAAGCGCCGAGATCAGAAGCATACAGATGACGGCGACGACGATGTCTTGAAGCTGCAAGCAAAAATTGCGCGCAAATTTCAAGGCGCATGATTACGGTATTCGGGACGACTAGAGCGTATTGATCGGTGAACAACCATAGCGGCATATAGGTGGTCACATTGTACTTGTCGAATCTCGACGCGATCTGAACACGATTCGGATTCGATGATGCTGAAACTAGTGCTACCGTACCTCGCGGAACGTGTTCGTCGCCTCCGTCTGTTTCGTCGTCGTCGAGATGTCGCGCATTCCGATCATGAATCGAAACGTGCTGATGCGGCGATCGGTGGCGTTGCGACTCCAGACGACGTCGACGACCCACGGCTGCGAGAGATCCGAATAGATGAACTCGGCGGCGTGCTCATAGAACCTCTGGAATGATTGATTGATTTCGACGAGACGGGGATGCTCACCTCATTGGTGTACTCGACGCCACGGATCTCCTCGAATCGGAGCATCTCGCGAAGCCAGAATTGGACGCCGTCGTCGCCGATCGACAGCGGACAATTGGCGAACGTTGACGCCTGCAAAATGACGATGTCAACGAATGGATCAACAATGATCCATCTACCATTTTGTCCATGCTGATGCGCTCGGCGGGATCGCGAAGGTCCGGCGGATTGCTGACGACGATCTGAAGGCTCGCGCCGTAGTGCCAATAGTGTTTCTCGAGGGCGCGATAGTGCGGCGTCGCGTACGAATCGTCGACGAGCAGATTCGCCGGCTCGAGGCCCTCCTTGAGATGAACGCATCCGTAGACGGACAGCGCCAAATAGATGAGGTACCAGACGGCCGACAGCGTCCGAATCGCCGGCTGCATCAGCACCGGCGCGTACCAATTGCGGAAGAACGAGGTGCCGGCGCAATGGTGCTTCGACGACGACGACGACGGCGTCGAGCCGAGCCAGAATAGGCGGACGACGAGCGGCGACGTCGGCGAATAGATGACGGCGTCGCGAAGCCACACGCTGTGCAGACACTGCTCCTCCCATTTCGTGTAGTAGACGAGAAGGCCGCAGAAGAAGGTGAGCTGGTAGAGGAAGGTGAACAGCAGCGCGCACATCGTGTACAGGCAGAAGATCTGCACCGCCGGAATTGTGGTGATCGTGCCGACGCCGAATGAGAGCGCGTCTGCAATCAATCACTCATGCGATACCGGCAATTTCGAAATCGATTTTTGAGGACAGCCAACACCATCTTTGAGATTTTCGCCTTGAGACCCAGAAATCTTGTTTTCAAAAAAAACACTTAACGCAATTTTGCGGTCATTTTTTTGGGGGCACCCTACCTCTTTAAGATTTTCGCCTTGAGACCCACAAATTCGAGAATTGAGGATCTCGCGGAAATGAAGAAAAATATACCTGCCGCGTTTACTCTCTTCAATTTTTTTTCGCCTTGAGACCCAGAAATCTTGTTTGCAAAAAAAACAACTTGACGCAATTTTGCGGAAATTTTTTTTTGGGAGGGCACCCTCTTTAAGAAATTCATTATTTAAATTCGATTTCCCTCTTCAAAAAAAAAAGAAAGAAAAATGTTCACACCGCACTCGACGCACAATTGCACACACTCTCTCCTACCGTACCCGTCAACGCGGTGATGAGTATCGAAACGGCGGCGTCGGCCATGCATTCGGCGATTCTCAGCTCGTACTTCATTTTGCGATCGGTGCGCTTCAGACTGGCGACGATCAGAAACATGTTGTCGGTGCCAACGGCTGAAAGTGTCGATTGCAAACATCGGCTCCGCCCCCTCCCTTTAAAACGACCAACCGACGACGAGAAACGGCATGACGGCGATGATGTCGTTGTACTGGATGCCCAAATACGTCATGAGGCCCATCGCGCTCGCGATTCCCATTCCGGCGTTCGAGACGCCCAACAGCGACAGTATCGGCTTCGTGACGACCCAATCGATGTACGCCGAGCCTTTGATGGTGACGATCGAGCAGAACACCGAGAATATGACGAGAATGACGAACGAGGTGACGAATCTGACAATTTCATTTCGTTTCGTGTGATGATGGTCCCGCCCCGCCCCCCCCCCGCGACTCACTTTGGCGCCAGACTCTCGGCGTTCTTTTTCAGCTCGTCGGAAAGCGTTTGCGAGTGAAAGTAGGTGATGTCGATGTGCTTCTGCTTCTTTCGGTACTCATCCATTTGCTCTTTGAATTTCTGCAAACCGTGATGTTTCTTTCGCATCTGCCGACATTTGGCGGGGTTGCGGCAAACCCGCGAGGTGTCCGCATGTGGCGTTCAACAATAAAAATCAAGATGCGCAAAATTTCGTCAAGTTTCTGGCACAGCGCGCAAACCCGCGAGGTGTCCGCAGGTGGCGTTCAATAATAAAAATCAAGGTGCGCAAAATTTCATCGAGTTTCTGGCACAGCGCGCAAACCCGCGAGGTGTCCGCAGGTGGCGTTCAATAATAAAAATCAATGTGCGCAAAATTTCATCGCCAAACCCGCGAGTTGTCGTCAGCTGGGGGGGGGGTGAGCAACTCGTAAAACCGTCAAAAATTGTTACCTTCTCCCATAGACCCGACACATATGAGACATTGTTCGGATAGAATTTGAGTTGATAGATGAACAACCACGCCGACGCGCCCACAATAATGCTCTCATCGCCATTTTTGGCGAGTTTGACGCCGCCGAGCGCCGCCGCGATGTAGGCGCTTCTGGAAAAAAAAACCAAAATTTCCAACTATCTCAATCGCCCGTGGCGACCAACTTGTCGGCCAATCGAACCGTCGGATAGGTGATATTGATGCCGTGCGCGTAGAGCCGCGACACCAACTGTATATGATCGTGATTGGCGCAACGAGCGTCGGGACCAGCGAGACACAAATCCGACAGGCCGTAGGTGCGATTGTTGAACTCGACGCGAATCGCGTTGCGAATGTAGTCGTCCATGAGCTTCAGCTCATTGGCGTACGCCTCCTCGAGAATGTTGCCGTCGTGTTTGGCGACGGTCGCCACCTCAAATAATTGGAGAATGTCGGCAGCACAAAATTGATAAGCAGAAAAAAAAATAAAGGCTCTCAAATGTCGGCAGCACCGATTTCATAATTACCTGGACTTCTCGCGACTGCGTCACCGCTCGACCAGCCACGTAGGTGCCGTCGACCAGCGGCCACGCATCATGAATGATCCGACGCTCAATCTGAAATCGATGGGTATGATTTGGGAGGCACTGGTGGCCGATTCGACCTTGCTCTGCGCATCGGTTGGTGTGTAGAGGTAGAGAGCATCGCTGAGCGGCTCCAAACCGATGAGACCTTGAACAAGACAAATTTTTTTTCTCGATGATTTTTTTTTTGAATATCGATTTTACCTGTCGCCAAAAACGCGGTCGACAACAGCGGAAGAACGATGAAAATCGCCGGATGCGCCGACACCAATAGGCCGTAGTTGTGGAAGAATTTCGCCGCTTTCGGCTCGAGACAACCAAACTCGAAGCGCATCGGATTTTTCTGCTTTCGGCCGATCGATGTTTCGAATACGACGCACTCCCAGCCTCGACCGCGTTTGACCCACATTTTTCGCCGGCGAATTTCGAGGTCGTTCAATGGATGAGCGAGAGAGAGAGTGCGCGAATCGAGGAGGGTGCCAGACAGCGTCCTGTTCGCGCATTCATCGTATCAATTAACTTGTTAATTGTCCGCAGATGACTTTTTATCAAGTCGACATGATAGATAGTGTTTTGAGGCGACGCGCGAAACCCGCATAGTGTCCGCAGATGGTTTGTGCCAAGCAAATCGTTTTCGCAACGTCGTCGCTTACGGAACCAGCGAAATGTCCGCAGATGCCTTTTTTTTATGAAGTCGACCCGATCAGTGCTGTGTTGAGGCGGCGCGCGAAACCCGCAAAGTGTCCGCAGATGACTTTCTATCAAATTTTCCCAGACTGTAGTGTTTTGAGGCTGCGCGCGAAACCCGCAAAGTGTCCGCAGATGGATGGATTTTTTATCAAAGCGACACGCGAATTGTGCGATGTTTCTGGCAATAAGGTCAATTTTGAATAAATGGTAAAAGGAAAAAAGAAAAAAATGAGCGTTGAAAATAATAATTTTTTTCACAATAACGAATTGCCAAAAAATGATGGCGCCAGAGACTCAAATTTTTGCAATTTTTCAAGATGTTATCGATCTTCTTCGAATTTCAAAATTTCAATTCGCTCCCCCGTCAACAAATTGTTTTGAGCCAAAAAAAAATGTGAAAAATGGTCTCATCGTCGCCCAAACACCCATCATTCCATTTTTTTTTTCGGTAAATTCGCACACGCATAAATTATAACGTCGGGTTAATGCGATTGGAATTGCCAATTTCGCTTCAATTCGAGCCCCCCTCTAACACAAACAATATTTGTTTCTTGTGTGTGTGTGTGTGTGCATTCTCATGTCGACACCGCCGTCGCCGACCATCAGCGGCTCATCGTCATTGTCGAGCCTCAATTCGTCGATATCGTTTTGCTATATATGGACGACGAAGGTAGGTGGCTTAGAAAACTCGAAAATTGCCTAGTAAATGAGAGAGAGTGCTCACAATTGAGAGGGCGCAGACAACGAGAGAGAGTGTGCGGTGAGGGGAGACGCAGGCATCGTCTAAAAAAATTATGATGAAAAAATGGAATTTTGAGGTTTCCATAGCAATTGGGATTATTATTTTTACCCGAAAAATGTATGCGCCTTTAATTTGAAACACAAAAGAAAAGAGAGTTTTTTAAATAAAACCCAGAGAAAATTCGATTTTTAAAAAATAATTTTTGGGTTTGTAGATCAAAACTCGAAAAACGACCGACGGCGAAGCGACGATTCTCTCGATTTCGCCCAAATTCGCCACCGTTCACCAATCGATATCGTTTCAATGGAACGTGCGAGTTCATGCGACAATGGCGTTGGTAATCAATTTTTGGCGGCTGAAAAAAAAAAACTCAATTTTGATTATTTTCAATTTTCAATGGTTTTTCCCATTAATCGTTTGAGAAATTTCGATTTTAACGCGAAAAATCGCCTAAATTTTCCACCGCCCAACGATTTACGATAAATCGAGGGCGCGTTTCGGCGGAGTGTCGTTGAAAGTGGCGTCGTTCGATTTCTTCGATTTTTTGCGTGTTTTTCGATAATTTCTTTATTTCTCTCGCGATTTTCATTAAAAATTTTGAAATTTAGCATAAAAAATCGAGAATTTCCAAAAAAAAAGAACAATTCGATGAAGAGCTCAATTTTTGTTTTTTTTTTTGCAGGAAGACGAAAACTCTGAGGATGAGAACTACATCGCCGTGGATTTGTATCTCGTCGATGGTCCGATCAACGAGGTCCGTTTGATGGCCGAAGTGGCGGCGCTCGACAAAAACGCGATGATCACCGCCGGCTACAATCCGGCGAACGCGCTCGTCCGCGAGGCCAAATCGATCAAATTGCAAAAAGGCGTCGGTTGCGAGGTGACGGACAGCAGTCGATCGTGCGTTTCGAGCTATTTAAAGGTACACGGTAGTAAATATTAGCAAAGCGGCGAAAAATAATTGTCAAATTTGTCAGTGTTCTTCTTTTTTTTCGAAAAATGTGCAGTGTGCAGGGTGCGCCATAAATACGGAGCCGCTTTCAAAACGGTGTAAAAAGATTAGTTTCAAAGATTTTTTTCTGAGATTCAACCAAAATATTGACTAAACTATAAGAAAAAAAGTAGAATTAACAGTTTTCGAATCTTCCTCATTTCGCCTTGATCACAGCTCGGAGTCTCTTCGGGTAGTTGTAGATGAAGGCTAGCAGGTGATTGTCGTCTAAATCGTTCCATGCATTCTCGAATGCGATCTTCAATGCTCCCAAATTGGGATAGTTTTTCGTGGAAACCTTCTGCGTCAAATATCCACACACCGACAAGTCCATCGGGTTCAAGTCCGGGCTGTTTGCTGGCCATTGAAATAAGTTGCTTGGCACGGTGGGCAGGTCTTGCTGAAACGTCCAATCTCGATTCCCAAAGTGAGATTGGGCCCATGGAAGTATGTACTGCCGATTCAAGAATCTTTTCGTATCGACCCGGGATCCCGGGAATATCGTTTCCCGCGTCTCGTCCCGGGTTCGTCCCGCCCGAAATTCATTTCCCGGAATTTTCGTATTTTAATAAGATTCCAAATTCAAAATTTTCCAAATAGGGACTTCCTACGCCATTTTCTAAGCATTGGAATTATTTTAAAATAAGAAAATTCACTAAAAAACGAGAATACGCAATATTCGAAGAGTGTGCGTTTGCGCACGCGGTGATTGCAGACTTTTTCCCGGGATCCCCGGAAATTAAGTTTCAATGAGTCCCGGGGTAGACACACTGAAAATGGGCGCTCTGGCAGAATTTTAAGCAAAAAATTAAAAAAATTTAAAAATTAAAAAAAAAATTAATTAATTAAAAAATTTTAAAAAAAAATTAATTAAAAAATTTTTGGCATTTTTGGATTCTCGAAATTGAAAAAAATTGATATTGTTGCAGCAAAACATTGAAAATGTCGTGAAGCTGTCGGTGATCGTCACAATGGAATCGCGATTGTTCGACCCGTTCACGTATCTCGACGCGATTTCGCCGACGCCTCGCGTCTCGTTTCTCACCGCCAACTACAACGCGAGAGTCAACAGCAAAGTGTGGAAGCGTAGATCGCGGAAAAGGCGCGTCGAAAAAAATTTCAAAAAAGAACATTGTTTTTTTTGGTTTCAAAAAAAAAAAACAATTATTGTTGAACAATGACACATGTATCCAGGTGTCGTAGGATCCTGTGTTTTGTACGCAATGCCAAGAGACAGTTACCGTAATCCTCGCAGCGGGAATTTTTTTTTAATTTCGCATATTCATTTTTTTAATTTTTCGCTCAATTTTCGTTTTTTTCCTTTGAAATTTTGAAGAAACCAATTTAAATAATTTATTTAGCAGAGTAAGCACTTTTAAACGATTTTTTGGTAAAAACAGCAAAGAATTAAAAGAACACAATCGGATTCGAAGAAAATCTAATCGGATTCGAAAATACCCAAATAACGAATCGAATCCGACAATTTTCCAATCTTATTCGTAAAATTTCCAATCGGATAAGGTTAATTCCAGAGCCGAATTTTGTCGAATCCGATTGCGTTTTGAGTTACCAGAATTTTTCGCCCAATTTTCTAATTTCCCTTTGAAATTTTTGTTGTCTTTGAAAAAAAAATATTTTTGAAGAAACCGATTTTAATAATTTTTTTTAGCAGAATAAGCACTTTTAAACGAAACGATATTTTTAAAGGTAAAAATAGCAGAGATTTAAAAGAACACATTTTTGTCATTAATAAAATTATTTATTCGTCTTTTGCTTTTTGTACGCGTTTCTATTATCTTGTTTTTGTATTCTTCATTTTCAAAATAATTTTTAGAGCGACAAAATCTTCACAATGATTCCCAACTCAAAAAATGGAAAAGTGCATATTCTGAAAACAAAATAATTAAATTCGGTTTCTACAGGTTTTAAATAAAAGATTTCTGAAAAATACAGCAAAAAAATTGAAAGAAAATTACAAAAAAAAAACTCCGTAAATCGCTGCGAGGATTCTATTGCGTACAAAACGCCGGATCCTACGACACCTGGATACATTTGTCATTTCTCCGCAATTAATTATTTTGGTTGGTTCAGAAATTGTCGGGTTGAACGGCGCGCCATCACCGACGACGAGAAGTTGGAGTATGAGAAGAAGGTGCAGGCGATTCTGGATCAGGAGAGGGGAAAGGTTGCTCGGCCATTTTTGGCATCATTCTTCTTTTTTTTTTTTGAAGCTTATGGATCGCCTGACGATTCCCGAATCATCGTCGCGTCGTGCCAGTCTGATGTCGCAATTCAAGGAGAATCAGCACGAGATGATCTACGACGATCACATTTTTAAACGAGTGGGTCTCGCGGCGCAAAAAAAAACGAGCGCCAATTCAAATTTGAATCGAAATTGAATTTTTTTTGTGCGAATGCGATTCAAATTTTTTTCTTTTTTTTTGAAATCAAAATCCCCATTCCCAGATTCTCGTTTCTTGTTGCGAGTCGTGCGAGCAACGCCGACGCTCATTGATGTACGATAGTCGGACCGAGGAGGATTCGGAGGATGACGGCGATGACGCGAAGGCGGAATCCGACGGCGACGATGATGAGCCGCATTTTGAATGCGATCAGAGGGACAAGGAGCATATTCATGATGTATGCTCCGGGGGGTCTCGAAGCGATCTTTGTTCTTCTCATTGATTTCAGATGCTCGCCAACTTGTACTTCAACAAGGTCGTCCTACCGCAACTCGAGTTTATTGAGGATTTCATGGATTTTCTCATCGACGCCGAACTCAATGATTTGCCGGTGCTGAAGCGCGCGTGCGAGCGCTATTTGTGCAGCGAGCTCAGCACGGTAAAATTCAAAAAAATTTGATTTCTTGATTTTTCAAAAGAATATTGAAAATTGCACCATGCGCCTTTAAAATTTTGAAGCGTTTCGGAATTCTGAAGGCGTTTTTTTTTCCATCGTTTCGAAGCGACAAATTTTTAAAACGCAAAAAAATGTAATTCCGATTTTTGGGATGGAATTTTTTTTTGGTTTTTTTTCTGAAAAGAAACAGTCTTAATTTTCATTCATTAAATTGAAAATTCGAGAAATTTCTTGACACGAACATTCCGGAAAATTAGAAAATTGGAAAAAAAGGGGAATTTTAGAAAAATTTAAAAAAAAAGGAAATTTGAAAAAAATAAAAAAGGGAATTTTAGAAAAAAATAAAAAAAGGGATTTTTAGAAAATTGAAAAAAAAGGAAATTTTAGAAAAATAAAAAAAGAGATTTTTAGAAAAAAAAAGGGAATTTTAGAAAAATAAAAAAAGAGATTTTTAGAAAAAAAAGGGAATTTTAGAAAAATTAAAAAAATGATTTTTAGAAAAAAAAGGGATTTTTAGAAAATTGAAAAAAAAAGGAAATTTTAGAAAAATAAAAAAAGAGATTTTTAGAAAAATAAAAAAAGGGAATTTTAGAAAAAAAAAAAAGAGATTTTTAGAAAAATAAGGGAATTTTAGAAAAATTAAAAAAATGATTTTTAGAAAAAAAAAGGGATTTTTAGAAAAATAAAAAAAGGAAATTTTAGAAAAATAAGAAAAAGGATTTTTAGAAAAATAAAAAAAGGGAATTTTAGAAAAAAAAGGGGAGTTTTAGAAAAAAGACATCAGCACATGCCTGCTGTTGGATCTTCTCTTCAACGCGATCGTCTTCAATTTGGCGGTGATGAAATCGATGACGCTCAGCGAGCTTTCGAATCGCGCCCACGAGTTCGTCGACGTCGAGCTGCTGTTGCAGCAAGAGGAATATCAGTTAATTTTTTTCGATTTTTTGATTTTCAAATTGGCTAGAAAAATTTGTTTGTAGGAATCTCGACAAACGCATGAAGAATTTGGCGGATCGCAATTTGCCGGAGCTCATCGAGCAGTGCGTCAATTTTCGCGAGCAAAAAGTCGATTTTCCCGAATTTTTTTTTTCAATTTTGATTTTTTCTTTTTTTTTTTGCAGGCTCGCGTTCGTGTGTTGCCCGCTTTCCATGAGGAAATCTCGTTCGCCAATTCGCCAATCGAACAATAAATCGCTTCTTTTTCAGTTTTAGCCTAGTGGTTTTTTAAAACAAAAATGCGGATTACGCTAAATTGAGGGCACTGCGTCGTCCAGTGTGGAGTGTCGTTTGCTTTTCGCATCATTTCGCCCTAGAAATGTGATTTTTAGGTGGAATTAGAGTAATGGAATAAAATTGCATGAATTTTTCGATTTCAAAATGAGAAAGTGGGAAGTTTTGAACGAAATGAACTTGATTTTTAATACTAGAATTCAAATTCGCGCTGGAGAATGAGCCGCGTTGCGTATGCGTCGCGGTCGGCGTTAGTTTTAAATAAAATTGCAATCGCTTTCTTTTTGGCAGCTTTTTTTTTAGAAAATGACCATGGGATTAAAAAAAATTTTTTTTTGTAATTTTTTGTTACAAAATGGATCAGAAATGATTTTTGAAATCACCCGTGCCCATTTTTTAGCGAATATAGCAGATTTTATAGAAATGGTTTAATTTATTTGAGAAAAATTGATTTTTAAAAAATTTTTACAATGCAGAAAAATTTTTGTGAAAAATTAATTTTTTCAATTTTCTACTTTTTTTTCTGAACATTTTTCGTTGGGTTAACACTTTGAAAGGCTATCGCTGCAAGATCCCAACTCATTTTTCGCGTTATGCGCCTTTAATCGTTTACTCACATTTCTCGATATTCGATTTATCGAAAAATCATTTAAGTCGGCAATTAAAAAAATTTTATTTTCGATAATTAAAGTTTTTTGGCTTCTAAACAACAAAAACCGATTTCTATTTTTTGGTTTTGTTTTTTTTTTTGGAGAAAACTGGCAGCCACCAAAAATAGTCATTTGCGCACTATAATTTACGTGGTTCGTCAACAACTAAATTTGGGTCCAAAAAAAGAAAAGAGGAAAATTCATATTTCTCACGTTAAGGGTTTTTAAAAATATTACAAAATGTTTTCATGGCCGTGAAAAATTTAGGTCAGAATAACACGGCCGTGAAATAATTCGTTCGCCGCAAACAGAGGACCGCAATAGCGCAGTGGCTAAAATTTTGGGCTCATAAGCGTTGAGGTCGTGGGCTCGATCCCGCTCGGACGCAAAGTGGATTTTCTTTTAGCCTTACCTGAAATTATGTGTTTGAAACCAATTTGCTTTAGCATTTACTGCTGCAAAAAAGAAAAAATGCCAGACGGGAGCGAACCCTTGCCATAAATTTACTATCCTGCGCACTTGCCCCTTCACCTCATCAGCACAGGCAAAACGCGACGGATGAAGTCCGGCCGAATCACGGTCCGTTATTGACCGTTCCAGCGTGTACCGGAGACGGACGGAATCCGGAAACGTTTTTTTTTTTGTTCCGAATAATAAAAATTTAAAATTGAAATCATATAGACAGCATTATTATAGAAGTTTTATTTAAGAAAAATCGAAACAAAAAAATGATTTACGAACCGCAATCGCTAAATTCGTGAAAATTTTAGCACTTATTTTTCATACATTTAAATGTTAAAAGCAAGTTCATATTATAGAAATTAATATTTTTCATGTATAAATCGCAAAAAATCGAATTTTCAAAAAATCATGAAAATCGGCGAATAATTTCAAATGGCTGTAGAAACAAAATTAGATCGTCAAACCCCAAATAACTTTTTTTTCCAAGGTTTAATAAACCTAATACTTAGTCGCCATACCATTTGCTTCTACAGAAGCATAACATCTTTCAGGCATGAACGGTACTGTATGTAAAATGATTAATTCGAATTCGATACGAAAGAGACAATTTTTTGTTTCACAATCAATTCCATTAAAATTTGAAATCAATACACCGAGTTTCGCAAAAAATACGAGTAGATTCGGGTTTTTCCAAAGAGTAATACGAATTTCAAACTTAATTTTCGAACAAGTTTGTGGCCAAAATTTGTGGTATTCGATTCGAATCGAATTACTAGAATAAAAATAATTCTAAAATTGGACACGTAATTGGTCCGTTTTTTGTCCGTGATGCCTCGCAGCGATTTACGGGGGCTTTTTTGTAAATAAAAAAATTTTTTTTTCATCCTGAAAATCAAGATCCGTAATTAACACGTTTTAAAAACGTGGCCAATAAATCTCCGGACCTTGCCCGTTTTTCAAAGAAATTTTTGGTCCGTTCTTGGTCCGTTTTTTAGCCGTAGCGTTCAAATCTCCGGACTTCATTCGTCGCGTTTTGCCTGTGATGCTTCTCCGCAGCGGCAAGAGGCGGATATGTAACCTCTTGCCCAAATGGTTGCTGACGGAAAAATGACCTTGAATTTTCAGATGGTCCTAATTAACCCTCGGCTGGAATTTTGCCTCTAATTCCAAAACGGGTATTAAAAAATATCTTCCCGGGTTAGAGAGTTGTCAATCCGTCGCCATGAGCAACCGGCGAGGTGTTGGTGTTCATCACAAGAAGAGAAAAAAAAAAGACGTCATCTCTCTCTCTCTCTCTCTCTCTTGTCCAATTTTTTCCAATCGAATTGCGTCGTTGAATGTCGATGGAGAGATTCTCGGAAAAAATTGAATAATGAAACAATTGGCCGCATTTTTTATGCGCTCACTCTTTATATATATATTTTTTTTTCATATATTTTCATTTTATTCACTCGTTTCTGTTTTCGCGAAACCCGCTGGCATGTCCGCAGCACGATTTCGATAAGCATCGAAATCACGCGAAAGCGCTTTACTAAATTCTGGTAGGCATTAAAATCGAAATTTTTGCAAAGTCTTCGAAATCCCCAAAAAACCGTCCTAGTTTTTCGAATTGTTTTTCGAAAAATTTCAAAATCGCAAATAATATCCATTTTTTGCGTTTTCTTTTTTAAAATCTTGATTTAGAAAAAAATTGAAATAAAAAATTCCACACCAAAAAAAAATTTTTTTTTTGAAAATTATTGAGCGTGGGTCTCGAAGAAGCGCGTCTTACGGTAGAGCGATTATATTAAATCATATGAATAATAATAATAATAATAATAACAAATGCGCATTTTCGCGAGAACGGCTAAAAAATTTTGTGTGCTAATCTGTCTGAAATCGGATTTTTTCATTTTTTTTTTCTGCCTGACAACCTTTTCTCACGTATGTTTGCTCATTTCTCCCGTCGGCCCACCTTTGCGTGCATTAAAACAAAACAAAAATTGATTAACTATATATATATATACATATAGTTAATCCGCTGTTTTTGCTACTTGCAAAAATCCCAATTTTTTTGGTGATTTTCCCCCGACGACAAAAAATCGATAATTAGTGCAACGCAGGCGGGCGGGGGGTCTGAGCCCGAAATCCAATTAACACAGGCTGGCTGCTCATATTCGAGCAGCCTCATCCCCCCCCATTCATGGTGTTATTTCCTCTCGATTCAATTTCACACCAATTAGGCGAATGTCTTCTCATTTCTCAATGTGTACAGTGCGTTTCACATTTTTTCAAAGCCACTCCCTGCCTTTTTTGGGCATAATTTTGTCAATTGTAAATATTTTTGAAGTCGGTTTTCAAAATTGAATTCAGGCCTTAAAAATATGTGGGTGTGCCAATTTTTATAAGGATATCTGCAAAATTGGCCAAACGATATCGAAAATTCTGAAAATTGAAAATTCTGAAATTGTGGGGGGACCTGAAGAAGAATTAGCAATGTACCTTTAAATTGAGTACTGTACGATGCTTTCATTTGGCTTTTTATGACCAATTCAAAAATTTTCGATATAATTCGGCCAATTTTGCAGATATCGTTATAAGGTCATATAAAGCCAAATGAAAGCATCGTACAGTACTCTATTTAAAGGTACATTGCTAATTCTCCTTCAGGTCCCCCCACAATTTCAGAATTTTCACGGCGATAGCAATTTTCAGAATTTTCGATATCGTTTGGCCAATTTTGCAGATATCGTTATAAAAATTGACACACTTACATATTTTTAAGGCCTGAATTCAATTTTGAAAACAGAATTCAAAAATATTTACAATTGACAAAATTATGCCCAAAAATAGGGGTGGCTTTAAAAATGTGAAACGCATTTTTTATATATAATTTTTTGTTTGCCAGCGATGAGCAATCGGCGAGTATCGCTGCCGGTGGCGTTGACGATTCCGAAGGCGTCGCCATCGCGCCTCTCGCCGCCGTCGTCGTTGTCGCCGGCGAATCGCAGGTAGGCCACCCATCGTGTGTTCGCATATCGCCCCCCCTCAACACGTTTTGTAGATCGCTGCCGACGTCGCCGATATTGCGACGAAGTCTGCCGAGCACACCGCGGACGCCGTCGCCGCGACGCAAACTTTTGCCCGATGTCGATGAGCATTTGCCGAGCACCAGCTCGAGGTTGGCCTTCTTTTTGGGAAATTTCTAAAATTGTTTCGCAATAATGGAAATTCATCTGCGGGCACTTTTCCGGGTCGCAAAATCATTTTACCCAAAAGTCTATCCGGCCTTTGAATTGCAATTATGGAAATTCATCTGCGGACACCTTTCCGGGTCGCAAAATTTTTTTACACAAAAATCTATTCGACCTTTGAATTGCAATTATGAAAATTCATCTGCGGACACCTTTCCGGGTCGCAAAATTATTTTACACAAAAATCTACCCGGCCTTTGAATTGCAATTATGGAATTGCATCTGCGGACACCTTTCCGGGTCGCAAAATTATTTTAAACAAAAATCTATCCAGATTTTGAATTGCAATTATGGAATTGCATCTGCGGACACCCTTGCGGGTCGCAAAATTATTTTACACAAAAATCTACCCAGATTTTGAATTGCAATTTTGGAATTGCATCTGCGGACACCCTTGCGGGTCGCATTTTTGCAATAACCCTAAAAATAGATCGATTCCTCCAATTTGACATCCAATTAATTGTGGGGACCATCATTTGCATTTTTCGCCGTCTCTCCGACGACCAAAACGTTCGAAGTCCCCCCAATTTTTTTTTTGCTGGTGTGAATTATTAGCGAGTTTCATTTTTTTTCCTTCGGACCTCATTTCTCGATGAAATATGATGCGTCAAATTTTCTCATCCAACTTCTTCGATGTTTTTTTTTTGCAGCTCCGAAACATCGCCGAGGCGTGTGAAGAAGCGCAAAAATTCGCCAAGGTATCAATTTTTTTTGGCTGTCTCTTTTTTTTCGTGGTTACGGTAATTAAAGGCGCAGCAATTTCTTCGTTTTCCAACCCATGCGCCTTTAAATGATAATTACGCTAGTTTTGATTGGGAGACCTTCTCAAGAGTTCCAACAATTTGATGCTCTCCAGCTCCCCATGAGCTTGATCTAGTGAAAACTCCAGCTCCTTGAGAGCACTTCACCAGAAAAAAAAATCGTTGGGGGGTTGCAGATTCTTCAGATACCAATACTCGCTTCAAACCGCCATGCACAACGAGTGTCGGATAGAGGTGGGCGAGCGGACCGTTGAGACGTCCGCAGCACGATGTGTTGTTGTTATAGGAGATGCCCGACGGCGCGTTGCGCAGCTTCAACCTCGAGCACGGTCGAGTCGTCGACAACGGCTACATCAAGACGAGGCCGTCGATTCCATTGTCGCGTACGTCATCGAAGGGGGGCGGGGCGGGGGGGTCCGAATAGCCACAAGACGGCTTTTCAATTTTCAGGTGATGGTCGCGCCACATGTCCCGAAGTCTGGCGAACACCCGACGAGCCATCGAACAAGAAGCACGTGGTGTTTCGATTGTACGGCGCCAAAAATTCGGGCAAACGCACGATGCTCGAGTCGATCGAGCAGTACGCCACCAAATTGGTGACACGCTACAATCGTGAGCGCGCCACAAATGGTGGCTCGAATTGACTCGCAATCGATTTTCAGACAACGATTCGTCGCCGTCGAAACTCATCGATTTTGTGCTCAACGACGAGCGAGCCCAACTCGAGGTGCTTCTCGAATCGACGCTCGAGGTACCAGAAATTTCGGACCCCACCCACACCCATACCCTCAGCAATTTTTAGAGTTCACCGTTCGCCTCGTGCCTCACCATGTACGGAATCGTCTACAATGTCGATAGTCGCGAGTCGTTTGCGATGGCGACGAGCCTATTGAACAGGTTTTCCAAATTTTTTTTTTACGCTCAGCACTACGATACTCCAATTTACACACCGCCCTCGGTTTAGTGGGGCAAAAATTTTTCAAAAAAAAGTAAAGTTCAAAAATTGCTGACGCGATTTTCTGGTGATTTCCGAAAGAAAAAATCGTTTAGTTCCGGTTGCCTAATGCGATTTTCGATAGATTTATTGCAAACACACCAAATTTCCGAAAGCTCATTCGGATTTTTGATAGCAATTTCAATCTGCGGACATTCATGCGGGTCGAAAAATTGACGAGGATGAAACGCCACGGCTAAAAAAAAATATTTCTTTAAATATTTTCTTTTTTTCCGGCAAAAAATTGAAAGTTTGCAGACTTTTGAGTCGAAAAATCGCCAAAGACCAAAATGTGATATTGATCGGCAACAAGGTGGACCTGAAGCGCAATCAAATCGTCTCGAAAATCGGTATTCTCTTTTTTTTATTCCATTCGCAAAAGCCCGCGTCGATTTACGATGAATTTCATTCATTCCCTCGAATTTTTCATTGTTCAAATTCAAATTTGAATTGCCGCCTCGAGAAAAGTGCGATGGTCCACAATTATAAGCAAGGCACTCGTTTTGGTTATTTAAGAAAAAAAAAACGATTTGGCAAATTGCGAAAAAATTCTGATGGCCGTGGCCGCGAATAATTCGGCCACCACACATTTCTCTGAATTTTTTTTAAATCTGAATGTTGATTTTTCCTGCATTTTCTTAAAATCTATTTTTAGATAAAATCAGAAATAGCGAAAAATCGCCAAATTCATCAAGTCGCCTAGAAAATTTATATTTTTATTATAAAAAAATCGAAAACCACCATTTTTAGAAAGCTTTTCTATACGAGACCCAATGTGAGAATAATTTGAACAATTTTCGTCACACACAAAAAAACTCTGTGGGGGGGGGGTTCGAAAAACGACCATTTAGGGACATTTTTGGAAATGACGGGTCCCAACGCGAAATTCGGCCAATTTGCAGAAGGCGCGTGTCTCGCGAAAATCCACAATTGCAATTTCATCGAGACGTCGGCGCTGCTCTCGATAAACATCGCCGAATTGTGGGCGATTCTTGTGAAGCGTCTCGAAGGCGTCGAGACCGTCGAAACGAGCTCGCCGAGTTGGATGCACAAATTCGTCGCGCGACTCGCGCACTCGGCCGAGCAAATTGTTAGCAAAATTTCGATCTAATCGAAATTTCGCCCAAAATTTGTTCTTTGTTTTTTTTTTCGTCGCTTCTCTCAAATATACACGATTTCATCATTTCACACGAACAGAAAAAAACGAACAGAGAGAGAGAAATGAGAAGAAACAAGCACAAAAAAAATGGACGATGAAAGAAAAAAAAAATATACACATACACACGGAATTATGACTAACAAGGCAATATAATTGGCATCATAATTAATTAGCGAATTATTACAATTGATATATTATTATGTAAATTATACAACAATAAACTATATACCATATATTTTGCTCGCAAAAAAGAAAATGAACAATGAGAATCTCTATGAATGGGGAAGGGCACGTTGAAGGGAAAGACGATGAAGTTCATGTCCAAATTTTTTCGTTTTCGCAAAAAATTCAAAAAAAAATCATTGAGGAATCACAAAAATGCTACCGGATGGCGTTGAAAAAACCCGCAAAATTACCAAAATATTCGACAAAACAAAAATTGATAGCAAATTTTGGCGCACTTTTTTTGGTGGAAATGATTGGCTGACAAATTCACATTTTTTTTTTCAGTGTACCCCCAAAAAAACTTTCAAAGAATTTCCAAAAATTCTTTAAAATGGTTTAAAACCTTTCGAGGATCTGAAAATTCGATGTCTGAAAAAAAATTTCAAAACTCCCACCAATTTCACCAAAAATGAGCACCCAAAAAAAGAATTGTGGTGAATAATTCTAAAACTCTAGACGACATCTGATGGCACGATTCCATAAATATCCGAATAGACTTGCGACGAGTCGTCGTGCGCCGATGTCGAATGATGAAGCGGCATTCGCGACGGCAACGATGAATGGAGAAGCGTCCAGAACAGATGGCTGCTCATGTCGATGCGCGTGTGCTTCCGCAGAATCTGTCCGAGCTCATCGTCGAGAAGATTCGCGTCGACGCCGTCGCCGAGCACGGCGATCACGCGTTTCGCGCGATTCTTCGCGAATAATTGATGTGACGTCTGCAAAAACAAAAAAAAATTAATTTCGAAAATTTTTTTGACGCAATTGATTTTTAGATAATTGAAAGAAAAAAATGCCGATTGAAAAAATTCGCAAAATTTTGGCTCATTTTTCACCAATGTTGATAAAATTCAAATTTCTTTGCCCAAAAAATTCACGTTTTTCCAACTAAAATTGCAAATGAGAAATTTAAGAAAAATGAGATTTTCTAAAAAAAAAATTCAGAAATGTCTCATAGATTCAAAGAAATCGATTTTTGTGAAAATTTCCAGAATTTTCTGAAATTTTTCTAACTTCAAAATGTTTGGCAAAAAATCACGACTTTTCAACTAAAAATTATGATGAGAGAATTTTCCGAAAAATCTCAATTTTCTAAATTTTCTCTTGAAAATTCCCCCCTTAAAATTTTGATATTTCCATAATTCAAGAAATTTCGGGAAAAAAAATTCCAAAATCTACCTTAATCTGCAGCGTTTTCCACTCATTATCCAAAAAGTGTCGCGTCAGGACCAATATCAAACATTGCGACGCCTCCATCTGCGCAATCAGCTCGTCGGAAATCGCGTGAAGGTTCGAATTATACGTGGGACCATCACGATGGAGCAGACATAGCTGATAATCATCATCTTCAAGCGGCCTGCAAAACAACAAAACGACTAATTAATTGCGCGACCAATTATCGGGCTAATTACCGGCACAACTGATCGATGACCATCTTCTCATCTTTTTTCGAGTAGCTCACAAACGCGTGATAGCTCAACAACGGCATCGGAAGCGGCGACGAGCCGGCCGACGTCGAACAGTTGAGCGACGACGCCTTGTATCGCCGCTGATTGATGGCGTCGTGCGATCGGCGGACCATCGACACACCGATTATGACGAAAATGCACAAAAGCAGCGAGCACGAGACGGCGAGCACAATGAAGATGATGCTGTTCTGCGGCTCGTGGCCGAAAAATCCCGACGAGATTTGAACGCATATCGAGACGTTGTAGTTTTGTAGGAACTCTGCAAATAATTTTACTCGGTTACTGTACGTGAATGCGCCTTTAAATATGAAATTCAAAGAAAAAAAAATGGTATTCTTAAAGGTGTATGTGCCTTTAAAAATTTGCAAAACAAAAATTTGCGTCATCTGGAAATGAAGAGCTTAAAAAGGGCATTCCAATTTGTTTTTCTGGAATTGAAAAAAAAAATCCAACAAAACCAACCATCCATTTGCATCACAAAAATGTCGCCATTCACATTCGGCGGTCTCGCCGACAAAATTGTGGTGTCGTTGGTGATGAACGCGCGCGTCACGTTCTCGACGCATTCGACTTTCGGCGCGTCGACGACGAGATGACGATTGTGGAACATCCATTCGACGGCGTTGTGCTCGATCATTGGCGGCGCGAAGCCGTCGTTCGACTGAACAAAACAAATTATTAATTAGTATAATTGGGGAGGGGGGGGGGTCTTGAATGGAAATAATACTAATTATTATTATTATTCGGTGTCGATTTACGGTTAACCCGAACTTGATAAAATTTGTTCAAGAAGCTTTTGACAATATCGATTCGCGGTTAAAAAAAACGAATTAGGTCTTAACGCGAAATTAAAAAAGTCGAATTGAGGGAGAATGTAAAATTGGGAATTTTTCTGGCATTGACCTACCAATCGAAATCGCGTCTGCTGGGCGGCACAATCGCAGCGGAGCGGATTTGCCGACAACGAGATTTGTCGAATCGCCGGCAAATTCGACAACGCCGCCGGAATGTCCTCGAACGAGTTGTTGTGAAGTGTCAACTGCAAACATTGGCAATTAATTAACAACTAATTAATTGGCTGGCATTTTTTCTTTTCGAATCTCTCAAATTTCCATTTTCGTTTTTCTTAAACCAATTTTATTGTGGAAAAACGATCAAGATTATTCCTCCTGTGAAAATTAATAAATTTTTAATGTGCAATTCGAATTTGCATGACGAATTCGAAAAACATGCGAAAATTAATTTTTAAAATGGCACAAAATTCAAGGAAACGCTCAAATTAAAAAAAAAAACAAAAACTCACAAATTTCAAATTTGGCAACTTCTCGAAGACGCCACGACTCAGCGTCGTGAATCGATTGCCGTTTAAGAACAACTGCAGAATTTGCGGCGTCTTGAGAAACTCGTCGCCGCTGAGACTATGAAGCGAGTTGCCGGACAAATCGAGCGTCTATAACGAAGAAGAGATTAACATCGAATCATTGCAATGATCGGGGGCAAACCTGAAGAGCCGGCAGTGTGTGGAACGCCTTCGGCTGAATCGAACGAAGTCCCGTTCCGTTGATGTGAAGCTTCTGTAGTCGAAGGCGTCCGATGAATGAGTGGGTTCGGAGTTGCGGCAACACGACACCCGACAGCATGATCTCGGTCGCCGACACCGGAAGCTCGGAGACGACGAATTCGCGTTTCGGCAATAGCTGCAACACAAGATTCTTTAATTCGCTTTTTTCTTCGATGTCTCGAAGCGAATCGTAAAGAATTGCACAATTCCAAATTTTTCATCCAGCAATTTCCATCGTAGTAAAGACATTGTCGAACTCATTTTCGATGGTCTCAAGACGAATTCTACAGTAATACAAACCAACTGAGATTTTCTCAACTGTTACGATTTTTTTCTACAGTAATCCTAGCTGCTAAACTATCTCGAAATTCGTACGGTATAACGTGTCAACGCGTTTGCGAATTTAAAGGCGCTTACCGTCTCATTTCGCTCGCAACGCACAATGTTGACGTCGAATGACTCGTCGCGGAAGCAGCGACACGACGCCGGACACACCGATTTGCAATCGCAATTGCCGTATTGGCAACAAATGCATTCCGGCTCGCACACCTGCGAATACCGGCATAGCATGTCATCCTTCTTCAGGTTCCGCAACGAAATTGTTCGTCCGTCGACCGCATGACGACACGTGGCATTCGCGTGATCCTTGACGGCGACATACGTGGATTTCTGACGAAACAGATTCATGATGTTGCAGTTAGTTTTTGTTCGACTTACCGCCGAATTGCTTTGATAGTCCTGAAGAAGCCACGTCATCTGACACGAGCATTCGAGCGGATTGCCGGCGAGCAACACCTCAACCGGATGGACCGCCTCGACGACTCGCACCGCGTCGAGCTCGACAATCTCGAGCTCATTGTCGGACAAATCGATTTTGCGGAGTTGCGATTTGTGCGCCAACGCGCCTTTCGCCAAATGCGCAATGCGATTCGACGCCGCGTCGAACGTCTCAACCGAATCCGGAATTTGTTCCGACGTCAACATGTTGAGGCGATTCTCGCGCAACGACACCGTTTTGATTCTGAAATCGTTTGTTTGATGGTTTGATAGTCGACATTCAACGCCAATGAATACTTTGAGCGCGACGATGCCGTCAGCAGATTGATCTGATTGCGATCGGCGACGATCGTCTCCAAACTCTCCGGAAACGAGGCCCATTTGAGGACGACAATCGAATTGCCGGAAATGTCGAGTTTTCGAAGGCTCGTCGCTTCGAGGAGACCCTCATCAAGCGAATCTGAAACCAAAGGCATATTGAAAAAAAAATAAACGATCATTTTCGTTCCAGGACCAAATTGAAATCGAACTATGCGATTTAAAAAAAACCCTGCACGTAAAGAAAAAAAAAAGAGCGTTAATTTTGGGCAAAAATAGGATTTTTTTTCGCCTCAAGAAAATTTAAAACATCCTTTTTATATTGAATTTCAAAAAAAATATATACTATGTGCCTTTAATTTTATGATATAAAAGAAAAAAAATCAACATACTCATGGCATTCTCTCTGAGAATGATTTTCTTCAATTTCGGGCATTGCGCAAACGAATCCTTGAATATCAACGAGATTCGATTATTCGACAAATCCAACGTGTGCAAATTGGCGCTCGACGAGAACACGTTGGCCGTGACCTAGAAAAAATAAAAAGAAAAAACTCGTCCATCATTCTTTTTGCCAAACTTACACTCTGCAATTGATTGTGCGACAAATCGATATGGTGAAGGTCGGCGATTTTCGAAAACGTGTTCGCCGCCAATTTCGCAATCCGATTTCGACTCAAATCGACATTTTTGAGTTTGACGACGTCGCCGATCGCCGACGGCACCTCGACGAATCGATTCGTCGACAAATCCAGCGTGTCGAGTTTCAGTCCGCTGAGCGAGTCCGACGCGAGACGTTCGAGCGCGTTGTCGCCGAGATTGAGGCTCGTCAGAATCGGCGACGCCGGAAAAATTTGCGCGGCGAACTCGCGGATCTTGTTGCCGGACAAGTCCAACTAAAAAAAAAATACATCAAAAATTAAATGAAAATTCCATTTTTAGGCAAAATTTGATCAAAAAATAACAAATTTTTCCGATTTTAATTATTTTTAATGGAAAAACTCGCTCAGAAATCGTTGTCAATCAAAAATTGTGAATCTTGAAATTCGAAATTCCAAAAATTTCAAATAAATTTCCCACACAAAAAAACTGCTCCAAAACACGTCCCGCGCCAATTTGTGTGCATTTATCGCTAATTATCCGCCTCTCACCGATAAATATTTGCATAGCGTAGTATATAATATACTTATTTGCCCAAATTTTCACACTTATGGTGTTGGTGTCATTCACCATGTTCGAGTGGCGTCTACACATGTATGGTTAAGTGGTCCCTATGTATTACAACACCAAACATGGCCCCAAATGACAGTTTATGACCATCCATGTTGAGACAGATTGTTCATAAAATCGCGAGAGCAGGTGGTGACCCGAGTGATAAAACTCTCGTACGACTACCGTAATCTCTTAACTATACAAATAGTCGTAATACTTGACAACAAAAAAAAGAAAATTCGATTTGTTTCAATTTTTATTCTAAAAATATTACTTATCTTAATTTCTATTAATAATTTGGGTCTTACAAGATAATTTCTTGATTTAATTCTCTTTTAAAAAAAAAAAATTCCACAACTTCAATTTCTGCCAGGTGACGCGAATCTCGACACAAAAATTGCGCAATCTTCGAAATTGCTCGTAAAACGAACCTCCTAGATTCAAGGGTCCCGAAACGATTAATGAATCATACAATAATAGTAATCGCGATTCTTTCCCTTCATTTAGGAGAATGCAAGATACTTGAAATGATTCAAGGGTCTCACAACGATAATCCTCCTATCTTGCCTATTACGGTCTTGAAACAATTCAAAAGACCATTGGAGAGGTCCCGTGGCGAAAATTGCGTAAGAAAACATTTCTCTTCCATATTCAGGTCTCAAACAATTTCATTAAAACTATTCAGCTCGCAGAATCTCAGAAGGTTCTCCCCACAATGTCATTAATTCATTCAATTGGTCCCGTCTAATCCCACCCTCCTCACTCCCACATTTCCATTCATGCTCAATTGGAGTCACCCAAGCAAATGGCAAAGATGATCCGAAAATTGGGTGCCCAAAAAAAAGCACCTGGCGCAATTCGACCCCCTTGAGGATTAACAAAAGAAAAGGACCCCCCCTTCTTCTCCGTCAAGATGATGAAGATATTATGATACTATTACACCAAATGCGAGGTGACACCTTCTGGTGAACTCGACGTTTCCCACCACATATAATTAACACCTTTTTCCACTATATTGTATAGTTATAATAATAATAATAGTGTTCTTCGCACCTGTTGGCCATCCCCTCATATGGTCAACCAAAAAAAAAACACATAGAGGGTGAAAAGCGGAAAAAGTCAATTAATATCGCTGTGGGACCACATACACATTTGGTATTCATGGGACTCCTCAATAAATTTTCGTCGGACAACGAAACCCTCGTAAAATATTGAAAATGCAATTTCGTGGCAGATGCTGCTTGCCACGAATTTTTTTCCGATCAAATTTGATCTTTAAAAGCAAATATGGTTTAAAACAAATCTATTCAATCTCGATTCAACCAAAAAATGATTAAAGGCTCATAACACTGAAAATGAGCCGAGTGTTTAAATGGTAGTCGCAGTTTTCTGTTTTCAAAAATCAAATTTCAGATACACGTACCGTTTGAAGGTTGGTGGCGTTCGCAAAACTCCCGCGCGCGATTCCATCGATCAAATTGCGCTCAAAATGCAAATGAGCCACCGAGTGCTCGCAATTCTCCAACCATTCCGTCGGCACCACCGTCAGCTGGTTTCGCGACAAATCGAGCGATTCAAGCTCTTTGGATTCTACAAAAAAAAAAACACACACATTTCTTCCTTTTTTTCGGCATTTTTTGAAAACGCTTACGAAACGCCGTCGAATTTCCGGAAGCGTCATACGCGACACGATTCGCCGAAATGTTGAGCGACACCAAATTCGGCAACGCGAATATCGCCTCGGGTATCTCGGTGAAGCTATTCGACGCGATGTTCACGTGAACAAGAGTGTCTGCAACAAAAAGAAAATATGAAATCTACAGTAATCATTCATAAAGGTCTCGCGAAACGAACATACCCGGCAATTTTCCGCTCATCTCGATCAGTCGATTATTCTCGGCTTCCAAGTGTTGAATGAACGGCGTCTCGGCGCCGATCGCGATCGTCGACAATTGATTGTGAGCAACGGAGAGCTCGCGAATCGCGGGAACACCGCGCAAAAATTGCCTTGACGACGAATTGAATTGAATTAAGTTCGGCTGGATTACTTACTCGATGGTCTCGAGACGATTGCGCGACAAATCGACGATCAATAGCTGTTGCGCAACGCACGGCTCGTCGCGTCGCAACGTCGGTATCGCGTTCGCCGACAAATTCAACACCTGCAACAACAAGAAAAAAGATGTTATTCGTGTTTCCGGGTGTCTTGTATCACAGCGCGGCTCTTCAATCGGGGATGTCGTCCCTCGTCGCCTCCCTAATTAGTAGTCATGAGATACAGCAGCTAATGAGCTCATATTTATTAATTCGCTTCCGCGCAAAACAACACCGACGGCCGTTATTGAATAGCGCAACATTGTCGCCGACATTCGGCGGCGGCTTCCCTTTCAACGCGCATGTTTTGACTAATTATGATCGATATCATCAAACTAATGAGTGTCACAAGTCACTAAACATCAATGGACTGTTCAAAATAGCTCCATTTGTTTTTCGAGTGTCTTGAAGAAAACCAAAAATTTTCAGATTGAAAATCACGAAACAAAAGCCAAATTTTGAATTTCAACCTCAAAATTTTGTGAAAATTTGCGTTTTATTTTAATGGGAAATTCCATAACTCTCGCACTTCAATATTATGGTATTATTTTTCAATTTTCCAATAATGGGTCTTAAAGCGAGAATCCTCAACTAAAAAAAAGCTTCTTGTTCCAATTTTTGGGTTCCAAGACAAAAAATCAAATTTCAGTGGCAAAATTGATGAAAAAAGAATTTCTCGACTATAGCTTGAAAATCCCAAAATTTTTTCAAAAAAAAAAAAAAAAAAAAAAAACAAGAATTCTGAGACCCAAATTTTGTCAAAAATCCCCCAAAAAAATTTCGCGTTTCGAAACCTCAAATTGGCCGAAATTCTATGAAGAGGGGTCGTTGTTCCTAATCGAGCATCGCGTTCGCCCTCGAGGCTCAACCAGCCCAAATCCATCATCATAACAATCGTTTGGTGGTTCCAGCCGGGACAAATGATTGATGTTGTTGTCAAGGAACGCGAAACGCATTTTGCATATGAATACACGTTTGTTTTGTCGAAATCCGCGAGAGACCTTCGATCCGCACCGATCCGATCCGATCCGAGCGGGTCTCACCTTGACTCATTCATGAATGTACGTATGTACGGATTATGCGGGTCCCGCCGCTTCGAGACGCGCGGCTCATTAGCTAAATGATGCGTGATACCGCATCGTCGGCCTTCTGGTCGCCAGCAGAAGCAGCAGCCGGTATGAACAATATACCTCTAATTAGGCCTCCCATTTCGATTGGCTTTCAACGAAAACAACAATTCGCGTCGAGACCCAAAAGAAACCCACCGACAAAATCGGTTTGAATCGAAAATTCGCGAAAACCAAAATTAGGATCCAAATCGACAAAATTCCAAAATTCTGAGGACCCATGATTTGAAAAATTGAAAAGAAATGGTCCGCAAAGAGCGAAATTCCAATCTGGGGGACCAAGACGGACAAAAGGTGTGCTTCCTGCGATGGTTATTACTTAATCATGGGTGGTTTGGGCGTTTCCTGATATTCGACACTTTACGGTGAATGCCGCTCAAAATTTTCCAATAAAGCCCCCCCCCCTCTCTTCTCCTATTGTTGAACATGGGCCAGCAAGAAATAGAGAAAGAGCGCGCGCTCGAGCAATTTCTCATTGAATTGCCGCCGGGTTCCAGATGGCTTCGAACTCGACCAGCAGAATGGCATAAGCCCCTCACCCCCCCTTAAACCCCCCGCCGTACTCAACACCCTAATAAACAACTCATTTGAAATGACCAGGACAACGACGACGACGACGACGAACCTGAAGATGTGGTAGATGGCATAATAGGCGTGATGGGAGCTCGACGTTCGGCGAGTACGTCACACTGAACTTCTCCAGACGGGTTAGTGGAGTTAGTAGATCGTCGGTTAGTTCGATGGCGGTGGGAATCTGCAAAAAATCACGAATAAGTGACCAACATCTTAAGATTCTCGGTGTGCGCCTTTAAACAATATCCGAGATTCTTGGTTTCCAACGGGAAAGAGCGAACCGAAATATTGAAATTTTTAAAATTCTCGTTGCGAGAGAGTTTAAAATTTGCCATGTTTAATGGCGCATGCCAACAATCAAATTCTAGTCGACCAACCCGTTCAATCTCCAATTTTCTGAGCGCCGCAAGATCGTCGAACAATTTCGTCGGCAATTGCGAAATTCCGCATCCCTGCAAATAAAAATAAAAATCATAGTCGGTTGTTTTTCTCTCTTTTTCGCCTCGTCGTCGCTTTAAGACCCGGAAACGCGCCATTATTCGTCCTGTCAACTCGTTTATAACTAATCATCATCATCATCACAAGTGGGGGGGGGGGTTTTCATTGCCAATTCATGAGCGTCTCGACGCGAAACAATACAAAATGTTCACGCATCTGTCACCAGACACTTGACACGCCCATCTACTACAAATATTAATCGGCCTAATCAGAGCATCTGTGATTCGGGGGCTCTCAGGAGCAGATTCGCCACAAAAAATTGGTTTTTTTTTTTTGAAACAATCTGCCAAATTACAACCAATGTTGTGCAATCAATGTTGTATGCTTGTAAACTCGGAGATGACCGATACGTATCTGCTCGGATGACGCAACCCGACGAGACTAATTAAAAGGAGCACAAACCAAGCGCATACATACATGCACAGACCAACACCTTTACACAATGACCTATTGAATGTGATTGGCTTTCTTAATATCCGTGAAGAACACGAAACAAAAAATAAGCCAAACGTCGCGACCTCTTATATGGCTTGTAATTAGCGAATCGCGTCAAGATCATTTTTTTTGAGCATCGTCAAAAATCTCACCTCGATTTTTAAATGATGCAGTCCGGTGAGTCGATGAAACAAATCGTGCGGGAAACTCGTTGGTCCGCGACACGTGATGAACACGGTCCGAATATTCGATGGCACCGAATAGCCATGAGCAATTGGAAGCGCTGAAGCGCCGATGGGAATGTCGCACATTAAAAGTCGCGTTGTCGGCTGAATAGGGTCCGGGGCGCATTTGCACCTGAAATTGCAACATTTTTTTTGAGGGGGGAGCTTTTGAGAAAAAAAATTGCTTACTGTTTTGGGCATTGCTCGAATCCGGCGGCAATTCCAAATAATATATATAATAATAGTAATATAGGCATATCTCTGTTCTTTTCACCGCCTGTCAGTTATCATGTGCTGCAAAATATCATATTAATGTGCATCGTGTCATAAATTGCGCCAAAAACTCGAGCGTTTTGTGATAAGAGCGAAAAATTGCGCAATTAAACCCGACGGGGCGAGCGCTCGCTCATTTCGTATGCAAAATTCGATTTCGACAAACGCCGGGTGACAAAATCGGATTAGCGGAAAGCGATGGTGAAAGTTTTTCGCTGTACAGTTATTAACACCTATAAATGGTGGAAATGCGCGAAACGATTTTGTCGACCTTGTGCGACATTGAGAGAAAATCGGAATGGGAAAATATATTCAAGCAAAAAATGAGCAAAACAGAAAAACAAAATTTTTTTGAACAGTGATTTTTTCGAGAAAAATTCGGAAGCGATTGAATAAATTTCAAGGCGAGAAAAACAGAGAATTAAGGCAAACTTGAAAAAAACACGATTCTAAGAAGAGAATCCAAATTTCAGCCAAACTGTTGTAAAAATCACGGATTGATACGAAAACCGGTAATGAGAGAGAGAATGAAGCAAGTGAATGAGAATGAGACAACCGCAACAAAAGAGATGTCGAATGAATGAATATGATTCGAAAGATCAGGTGGCGAACACCCAGCCAAGAAACATGTTATGCGAATGCGCAGGCAGCGATGGGCGGGCGGGACCGACGGGTTTTGGTGCAGGGTGCATGGTGGCGAGGGTCGGGGGCGGGGTCATCTAAACAACATGTTGTGAGGAAGGGGGAACGATGTTATCAGGTGATTAGTCCATAAAAGGAACAACGGATTAGCGCGTTTTCGTACTTAGCGCGTCGGAAACCGTTTTGACGGGCACCCGTCCGACGGTACTTGAGAAGAATACAAAAAAGGATGAGATTCCGGATTATGGTTGAGGAGCCGCCGACGTTTTTCGTCTTCTTTCTTAAAAGAGTTTTTTGAAGAGTTGAAATTGAAAAAAATTGGTGGATTTTTTTGCCGAAATTTTTTTTTTCGAGACCTAAAACCTGAAAAAAAAATGATTTTTTGGGAGTCTCAAAAACCAAAAAAAATTCGAAATTTTCAAATCGAAAAGAAAATCGCCAGGAAAAAAGGTGGAAGCTTTGAATTGCTCCAACAAACCAGGTGAATTCGAAAATTGAACGAGAAATGAGAGAAAAATGTCGGCGCGAAATTTCAAACGTGAAGAAAAAGAACCAAAATTTTGTCGTCCGGCGACGTATCGTAAAAATTGCATCCATTTACAATCGGCCGCCGGTGAGCGGGCCGAGCGCGAACGAATGAACAACTTATTCAATAAACCGCTTCCCACCACCGCCAATTTTGGGCAATCCGATCTGTCAATAATCCGAATTACACACAGAAGAACGGCAGCGATTTTTTTCTCGTCTCTCGTTCGTTCGAATATCTGCCGAAATCGAACAGAACCATATGTTGGTTTGAAATCAATTAAACAAACGTGAACGGCGGCGGAATTGAAATCGAACGGGAGAATGAGAAGAAGGAAAAGAAAATATACATAAAAGATTGATTGATTGATTGCCAGATGCTGACCGAGAAAACGATTTCGAAAACGGAGAATCTGGAAAAAATCAATTTTCAAAAATTTGCAAAAATATTCAAAACGTCAAAAATTTAATGAAAACGGCATCAAATATGGAATCCTTTAATAAATTCTAGAAAGCTTAAATTCTGAAACTAGTTTAACTAAAAAAAATCGCAGAGAAATCACTTTAAAATCAATAAAATCGAGAATTTTGGGAATATTGGAAAATAAATTAATTGTGTGCAATAATATGTAAGGTGTTGGCCTATGGTGTCGGTGTTTGCGGACATTCACAATTTTTTTTCGAAAATTTCCCATCTATCGAGTATTATTAGCTGAAATCATGAAATGAAACATGGAAAAGAGCACGACCAACAAAAAAAAACAACGACTCAAACCGAAAATGAATTGAGGCGTGTCGAAAACGGACGGGCGGCGGCGACTAATGGAATATTTGATGGACATTGGTCGAAAATGTTTCCAAAAAAAAAATAGTAAGAGATGGAAAACATAATAAATGTGTGGGATTGGAAAAAGAAAATCATGGTACAATGCAAATAATGGGCCAAATGCACAAAAGAGAAGCGGTATATTACAAAGCGCGTTTGTGGGGGGTGCACCGGTGGTCCTCAAGAGACCGAGAAAATGAGATACTGTAATAGGAGTGCTAATGGATCATCACCGATTGCATAATGCAGGTGCCGCGAATCGGGAGGGTGAGTTCAAATAAAGAAGTATCATTCCAAATGGGTATTTGAAAATCAATTATTTTTTTCCAAAAATCTACTGCAATTTGAATTGTGTGCAATTTTGCGTCGCGGTGTACCACAATCATTTTTCAATATTTTCATAAGTTTTTTGCCAAAAATTTCTGAAACGAAAAAATCATTTAAAGGCGCATTAAATGGATTTCATAGCGAAAGGCTTTTTTTGGCTTTTTTTTAAAGCGCGAAAAATTTTATTTTTTTTAAGCGCGAAAAAAAATTTATTGAAAATTTCAGTTTTAGAAAGATTTTTTTTAATTTTAGATTTTTAAAGGCGCATTGAAAATTGCTTTCACGGGTCCCACAACGATTTTTTTTTTGAGAGAGGCGCCTTGAATAGAAAATTTGAGAAGAGATTAGTGATGATTAAAAATGGGTCTCGCAGCGAAATGCAAATAAATTGGATACAGTGAGACAGGGGGGCTGGCGAAGGGATTTGGGAGTGTCACTTAAACACGTCGATATATTATTGCGTCTCGGTGGTGGGTCAAGTGGTTTTCGCCACGACGAAAAACCGTACCAACGGTTACTGTATTCACCATTAATGGCGAAAAAGGATTGGGACCATCATGCGCGTGCCGCTTGTCGTTGTGTTTTTGCTGAGCAAACACGACATGACATGAATGGTCCGTCGGTGGACACACAAAATTATCGAAAGGGTACTAAAAAGAAAAAAACGACCGTCTCGAGAGATATGGGTATCATCAATTAGAGGGCCCCAATTTTTATGGTCCATACTAACACACACTTATTAGATAGGGACCACTAATCAAGCGATCCACCGTCATGGTGAATATGGCGATTTTTTTTGGCGCAAAAAAAAAACTCTTATGGTCCCTTGAAAAAGGAAACGGTGAGAATTTCAACAAAATTGGGAAGCGAGATTTTGTTTTTGAGAAGAATGGTCCCTAAAAAAATATTAAAAAAAACGAATTCGTGCAAGTTTCTTATTGGTTTAAAGGCGCATGGGTCTCACAACGACAAATTTAAAGGCGCATGGGTTCACGATGACGAGTTAATTTATTGGCCAATTTTAAAGGAGCATGGGTCTCACAACGACAAATTTAAAGGCGCATCGGACGCACAATGGCTTTTTGAATTTTTCGATTAATTTTAAAGGCGCTCGGGTCCTACAATGAAATGTTGATTTTATGGCAGATTTTAAAGGTGCCTGGATCTCAAAACGACAAATTTAAAGGCGCATGGATCCCACAACGACAAATTTAAAGGCGCATCGGACGCAAAATGGCTTTTTGAATTTTTCGATTAATTTTAAAGGCGCATGGGTCCTACAATGAAAAAGTTGATTTAATGGCCGATTTTAAAGGCGCCTGGATCTCACAACGACAAATTTAAAGGCGCATGGATCTCACGATGACGAATTAATTTTTTGGCCAATTTAAATGCGCATGAGTCTCACAACGACAATTAGCCTCTTTTTTTTAGTACATTGATTCAAGTTTGAAAAATCGAGTGAAGGGTTGCTTGGAGTGGGTGGGGGGGGGAGAAGCTTTGTGGACGACAGCGTGCCACCAGATGCGAAATAATGGATTTCGGCGGGGGCCGACAGACGAACGCGCGTCGCAGCAGCAAAAGTTTATTGCGAAAACGACACCCCCCGAGTTCTGACGGACCACTGGGGTCTTTCGACAACCGGGCGGCTCATCGAAACCACCCGAAGAAGAAGAAGAAGAAGCAAACACGCACAAAACTCACAAATCATTAATTTTGCAGGACCCGTCCTGCTAATAACTGCATGCGCCTTTAATTACCGTATCAACAAATTATACGATTTTTTTTTGATTTTTACAATTTTATTAAAGGCGCATAAATTTGTGGGGGGGCGGGGCGAGTCATGCGCCTTTAAGATCAATAAAAATTCGCCTTTAAAATTGCATAGCAAAGTTTTCAAAAGAAAACAAATTTTGAAGCATAAAATGAGAATTTGAATTTCTTTAAAGGCGCATACAGTTTTTTTTCGAATCGGGTCTCATTATTAATCTAGAAATAATCGAAAGGTGTGTAATTTTGCGTGTGCGTGCACACGGACCTGCCAAAACAAAGAAGGGGTTTTTTATTAAAAAAAAAAACGCATTTTGAAAAATTTCAGAAAATCCAAATTTCAGTCTTTTCCACAGATTTTTAATTTCACAATTTTGAATTCAAATTTGAATTGGCGCCCACCGGAAAAGAAAAACGATGGTAAATAAATATTCGATGGTCCATAAAAATAGTTTTTTTTTTCAAAACCAAAAAACCAAAAGGAGATGAAAAGACACATTAATGCATCGTTTTGATGATGGTCCCTAGATTCTTCTGTTTTTCTGCCCAAGTGGTCCCTGCCCAGAGACGCTTCTCAGCTAGTACGATAATGATTCGAAAACTCGATGGTCCCTAACACGATTTCAATGGTTCTTATTAATTCCGAAAAAATTTGCTCAATGGCCCTACTAGAATTTTTTTTGAGAACAAAAAAGGCAGCATATCAATTTCTCGAATTATCATGGTCCCTAGGCGCCGTTTCTAGTGGTCCCAGCGATTTTTTTTGTTGAAATTGAATTTTGATGGTCCCCAGGAGCCCGGTTTTCAGGGGACAAAACTGGGATTCAAAAAATTTTTTTTGTTTAAAGGGGGTAGCCACCAAAAAAAAAATTTTTTTTTTGATTTTCGGACATT